TCCCAACATCTCAAACTATGCCTTTAAAAACTATCTACTCTTCTCTTGTTTTAACAATCAATGCACCACATAATTAACAGAAATCAGCAGGGAAGTCAGTTTACTTCATAAAAACAGTATGTGTGCTTAAGGTTTTGTATATTCTATATTCAGCTGAGCTTTACAGTAAGTTTCACATTACTAACCAAAGACAAGCTTGCTTCAAGTTACATGATGCAGTCACCAATACTAATTGAGTCCAGACACACAAGTTTCCCACGTAGCTGTTGGAGAGCTATGACTCAGGTGTCACGAATGCCTCTCCCTGGCTTCCAGATAAAAACGTTCATATTTGTGAGCTGTATGTGTGCAGTGCAAATATTTTACTGACATCAGAGGAAGACTAATGGCCCTTGAGCGCATGAGCTCAAGTGCACAGTTTTAAATCCAAGCTGCCACATTGTTAACTGGAGCATCGCTGGAGATCAATAAAGTTAATTAAACACAGAGTGGAGGTGGGCTACCTGCATTTATGAGGAACTCCAGTGACACTTTACAGGAAGGCATTATGGGTTTATATGTTGTTTCCAATAAACTTGTTAATTACTAATAAAGCATTATGAGCAGCAAGTCAAGTGTCATTATAAGTGTGGGAACATTCCCTTAACAGCCTGGATGTGACCTTGACCATGAGAATCCCAAAATGTGTTAAAGTTGGGGACACACACCACAGTCCTTGTTCTAGCTAAGCTAATATGCAACTTCTGTGGTCCAGGTTTACCAAATCAAGAGGGTATCTTCCAAAATCATGATCTTTTAGTACTAAATTCCCTTTTTGTGTTACTATAACTGCACTCTGCTGGTCCGCTCAACAAGGAAACTCTTACAGGGGAACACGACCAAGACCAAATTTAGTACTAAAAAGCCTGTAAATTTGGAAGACACCAACTTGATTTGGCTATCTCAGAGTGCTGAATAAGCCTCATGTAAGAATGGCGTCATGCTAGGAAGTGATCTCACCACAGTCAGTATGGACAGGAACAACAATTACAACGACTAATAAATCTTATACATGAGCATCTGAGCATTATATTAAGATAGACTTTAAAAAATTGGAACCTATCCTTTAACTTACATATCTATCTCAAGTTGATGCTTTCCTGCAGATACAGTGCACACAGCTGATACTGTGCTGTTTCATCAGGAATAATGCACTGTCGGCGTTTTCCACATAAGCCAACATTATGGAAACTCCATCAGCATGACAGACAAACAGCATGTTGGAGGTGTGGTGAGTGAGGTAACCTGCAGTCCTTCATGGTTGTTATTAAGTGGATTAACCCCTTTAGATTAGTCTCAGCCATTTCTCCCATCTGTCTACTGTTACACCACAAACCTGCTACTGTAAAACCATCCCAGGACACACACACACACACACACACACACACACACACACACACACACACACACACACAACAAAAGAGGCATCAGAAATATATTGGGGAGCACATGAGCATATCTTCTCGCAGTGACCTACTGCGCTGTATTTCTGTGCGTGACTGGACACACACATTACATGCACACACACTGAACTAATGCTCTTTCACATCACATATTTACATTTTACTGTAGACACGCTCACACAGCGGCCTTGGTCTCACATGCAATAAAACACGCACCCACACACTAATCTGTGATTAGTCGTTGGTTATTATTCTCAGTTGAGTGAACAGGAGACATGGCAGTCATGTACAGTACTGACACAACAAGGTGGAATTAGCGACGCATGACTTTGGACATAGCTGACCGTATGGAGGGATTTAGACTAAATGTATAAGTGTGTCACTGTGTGACACTGTTGAATGTGAAACTCGGGGTGCATAAATGTCTCTCCACTGAGGTGTTGTGAAATTTGATTTAATTTATTCTGATGGAGGCCTAAAGAAAAAAATGAAAATTAAATACAAAACAAACCAAATCTGTACTTTTCTACAGATGGCTACATGGGACAAGAGTGTGGATATTCTTTATGATCTGTGTTCATACAACAAAACAATAAAAAATAGATTGAATTAAAAGAAATGATTATTTTTGAGGACGTGAAACCCTCACCTTGACACTCCCTTGCCCCTGCGTATCTCAGTACTCATACACAGTGGCAAGTCAGGTTTTTCAGCTCGTGAGCAAAAATCTACTGAACAAAAATTATTAAAAAAGGAAAATTGGCTTAGTTTTTGGCACAGATAGCGCCACCATTTGGCCATTAATAAAACTCATAAATCATGTGAAGGATCAAAGCAAAAGCACATCTCAACATATTGGCCTTTTAGTGCTGTTTTGCTGTGGAAAACAAACTCCAAGGTTTGATGGCACTGCATCAATCTGTGATACTGGAACAACATGAATCTATGGCTGTAAGTCATGAGTTTGGCTTGAAATTTGGCACAGTTCATCTCTGCACAAAGTCCTCATCTTACCAGACATGATTTAGGCCATTTCTCCAAAATAACTATATTGATGCAGATGAAAAACCTCCTAGATTATGCAGCATTGATAGATGGACACAATGATGGGTGTGTGTATCTATTTGTTGCATCACAGTCTGAGTCAAACTCCTAATGATTTATATTTTTGCTTTAGGCTTCATTTCTTCCATTAAAAAGCACAAACACTCCACAAAACACAAGTGCATCTTCTGTGAGTCAACCTGGGATGAACTGAGACCAATTTATATTAAGCTCTCACATGATACCAGTTCCCCAAATGTTAGTCAGCCTGTTGGTTGATTGAACAGTTTGTGCAGAGTAAGTTCATGTCAGGAAAGAGGCCTGATCTGGCCCAGAGCACACTGGAAGTCATTAAGACTCAATTAGGCACGAGGCCATAGAGCAGAGGATGACAACAAGGAACCACAACCACAAGCACAGAAAAAGAGACTGCTCTGCCCCCGGGGGGGAAAGTCACAGTTTGGTTATTTCTCTTTTTTTTTTTTTTCTCTCCAGCACACAGACACAGACGCCTTAATGTAATATGGGTAGTCAGATGAGGGTGAGGGCAGCATGGGAGTGAAAGTGTTGCCTTGACATCCTGTGCAGGCGATGACACACATATGAAAGATAAGGTTGTAGATATACTATTGAATACAAGCCATAATGCAATACCACATAAAAGGTTCATACAGGTAAACACAGGGTAGATAAGTAGTAGTAGTAATCTTAGGGCAGATAAAAGGGAGAGCCGAGGAAAGGAGTCAAAAGGATGGTTTAAACAGAGAAGACGAAATAAAAAAGAAAGATCATTTGTGGCTTCTGTACCAGCTCTACACTTATACACTATGCTGTTAGAAATCTTACCACACCCTTCTTGACAGTGAAGGTGTTAAAGTAGAGAAAAGTGTGTTCAAAATATGGAAAATAGAGCTCAGAAAACATGCAGCAGAACTGGAAAGACAGGTCTCAATTTCCCACACACATCTGTCACTGTGAACTCCTGCATTGTTCGAGGCTTCATCAGGGTGCAGAGGCTGGAGAGCAACCCTGCTGACCCCAATCTCGTCTCCTTGTTCTATTTTAGCTGCATTTCTGCTGGACTTCAGTCAGGATGATTGTATCTGTTTTTTTCCCCCTCATCTCAATCTTATTTCCTCAACTGCTCCAACTTGCTTCACGTTGGCCAAAATATAGGTCACTGCTGGAAAGACCAGTTATTTGTTTTTTGAGTAGGAGCAGGATGAAAAGCACATGACAAAACATTCAAAGTATCTGTGTCTGGCTCCACCTAGTGGTCAAACCACAACCATTACATTTACCCAGACAGTTTCAGTTGTAACAACTGTCACACCATTGCTGGTGGACAAGGCTTGAGTTCATTTGAGTTCAATTTCATTATAAATTGAAGCTTAAATTTGATATTAACCACAACAGTTGACCTTGTGTTGATACCAGCAGCCCCAACAACAGCCTTTCCTTTTCTTCTGGACTCAAGAAATTCATAAATCTCTAAGCAATAGAACACAAATACAAATTACAAATTGTGGCACAATGATAAATTGTAAATTGGCTTTATTAGTGGACATATAATATTAATTATAAACAGCAAGTGCTTAGATTAAATTTTAAAATAAAGAATCTGTTGAAATAAAATGAAAACAAAGGTACGTCGGCTTAAATTATCACGTGCATAATGTCGACAACTTCACTTACATTTTTAACATTAAGGAGATATTTGACAGGAAAGTCGACTGATGGTAGTCGACAGACAGACAAACTGTAGACTCCTTCTTCATATATTGCAGCTGCCAGACCTCATTACCAACCTTTAACCTCACTGTTAACCAACCTCAGCAGTTTTCAAGCTGAACTCAGTGATGCAAAACTCTTCACAAAATCAGCAATTTAAAACAGGGATGTGAACCACTGTGTGCACATCTTTCAGTGACTGGAGAGCAGTGACTTCATTATATTTTTTGACTATACCACCAATACTCAATATTAGTACTTGCAGAAAGCTGCCTGCTAGTTTTGTGGAGGATTTCACATCACTGAGATGATCAAATATGTCACATAAATTCACTTACTGAGACGCTTCGTTTTCACATACAAGAGCCTTTCTTCAGGTAAATCTCATTCGCAGCAGTGCACGTAGGCAGGTGTAGCTATATCCCATTCATGGCAGAAGGCCTGTTCTTGTTCTATCATTCTGAATTAAGTTGCTCTCCATTAAAGTGACCAGCAGCCTCGCCTGAATCACAGCCTTCACACCGCCATGTCAACATTTCGGCTCCTCTTTGAACCCAATGACAGAAACGCCACAGACCAGGCAAGACAACTGAATATGAACTTTTATAACGTGTGCATATTATGCTCACATACAAAGTCTCTAATGTAACTAATGCAATCTAGAGTTGAGCTTCAGAGATGCAAAGCAAGTTAAGGACATGTATGTCTGAGAACAGTGAAGCGCTGAAGGCTGAAGAGAGGATCTGAAATGAAGTGAAACATAAAAACAAACAAAACACAAACATTTTTATCATGCCACTTTTGCTCTAAAAAGTAAATACTGAAATGTATTAAATAATTTAAGTTGATAAAATTCTCATTTAAATTCTCATCTAGAAGACGACTGAACATCTGAATACTTATTACTAACTCTCTGTACAAATAAAATCTCCACGTCAGAGGTAACAGGCCTCGTCCAAGCAGTCTTTCAAACGCGTTTTGATCCAGATCATTTAGCTACTCATCATCTTCCATTCCATATTTAGTCATTCTGTCTGGCGTTTCTTCATCATGCTCTGTTTCGTTGGGGAACTCCTGTTATTCATTCAGCCAAACAAGCTGATGGAAAAGTCCCAGTGTGTCAGTCCACATTTATCATGTTCCCCTGAAGAGTTATGACACAGGACCGTTGTGTCAGACCAGCTGCCCCTGATGCTTATAGTTGGCTGCAGTAAAAGCTGATGTGTTTCTCCCTGGGTGGATTGGGATTCATGACTCAATATGATCCAAAATGTAATCCAAGTGTGTTTATCTAAGGAAGACAGGTCCTGGCTACATGTGGTTCATCAATCCAAACATGGTCAGAGAACAGCTGGAGAATACAAAATGGTTCCTCTTGGCATCTCTCCTCTGTATACTTGGACATTTTCATCAGTTTTATTCCAACACTACTACAATATTTTGTGGTGTCACACATTTCAGTGTTGCTCCCAGTGAAGACGACTTCTTGCTGAGAACCCCTTCAGGTTATTTTTCAGTCAAAGCTCTCAGGTCTCTGTGGCGGAGCGGCTCATATCTGCTGCACAGCGACACCCTCGTGGTGATGAGTGGATACAAAGCAGCCACAGGTTTTGTTGTCTGGTTGTTGGTGCAGATGAGCAGCTCCGCTGTTGTATAGTTGGACTGCTAACCTCCAGTCAGGACAGAGGCTCATCACTTGGCGTGGCGGCTCTTGGGTTGAGCTCCAGGGCTGGAGGAAGAGCCTAGGTGTTTCCCAGGGCTCCTCCAGTGCTGCCGCAGGACAAAGTCATAGTTGGCGGTGGTGCACATGGCATAAAATACATTGGCTTTGTCGGGGATCAGGAGCTCTGAGGCAGAAAGAGAACATTTATTTTCCCTTGGCCCACTTTTATTTCATTTGCTACATTTCTGAGAATTACATGGAGAGCAATTTTCAGAAATGTCTCCATTTTAAATCTATTTAGGGTGAATGATAACATAATTGAAGGCAGTGAAGAGAAAGAGTTGTTTTCCAACTGAGAATTTATACCCCCTCTAAAAAACATTACCATTTCGTGGCTGAATTGGATCGTGGTTTATTACAGGCAGTGTCAGTGAAGGAACAGATCTCTGCTTCCTCTACAGTGGATTTCCTGCCATTTACTGTTAATGCATTAAACTTTTCCTGCTTTTAAAATCAAACATTGGCATTCATTTAGCCAGTTTATACAGTTTACACAGAAATGTTCATGGTTGACTTTTCTTTTCAGTGCAAAAGAAAACAGAGGAATGACTCCTGCCTGTTAGGCTCAAAGTTACAGAAAGTTTTTAAGCTTTAAGTGAGTCTGATGCTGCTTTGTACAGGACAGGATCCGCCTCTAATACTGCTTGTCATTAGATGACCTGCTTTTTGTATCTTGTATTGTACAGAGAAACATAATATAGAAAAAAACGTAATAGGAAAATCCTGCTCAATGGAATAATCCTGCTCTGAGCAGGTTAGACCTTTACTCAGAGAAGACTGGACGGACAGAGGCCTGAGGAGACGCTCACCTTTTCCATTGTTGAGCTTCTGGCAGAGGCTGAAGTCGTGGCAGCTGACATCCTCCATGTTGTGCTTTTCAATAGCTCTCTGAATCACCTGAGGTGTGTGGTCCTGACTGGTCAGCTGGAGAGAAAACATCACAGTGAGAGTCAATACATCACATCTGCATCCATAATATTTATTAGTAACGTGAAATGACAAATTTGAAAGCCTGTAAATTTACAAATTACAAGTTAGTATTTATTTGTAGCTATTCCTGCCTTTAAGAGTGATGTCAGTGATGATGCCCTTAGCTGTAACTAAAAAGAGACATCATAATAATATAAAGTAATAACAGTAATTCCATAATTGCCTAATTGTTCCAGTCATTTATCGATCTTTGTTTACTGGGATTATTAATTTCAAGTCTGGTCACTTGCCGTGAACATCAGTCATTATTTGAAGACATTTATTGGGTAACAGAATAACAAGTCAATTTATTTAAACCTTTGACAGTGGAAATAATTGTCATTTGCAGCCTAACTGATGATGTTGCTTCACTGCTACAAGCTGAAGGATTCATTCATTAATCCTGGGCTGATAACAACTTATCACTTTACAGTATTTACAAATGCCACTGAAAAACTGTTAAGATTTCTGATCCTGTTGTTCAAAAGTAACCTTGATTTAAATATTCTTGAATGGCTGGCCATTTAACAACACCAGCTCCTCACACTTCTGCTTTCCTTTTTTTTAGAAAGTGTTAAACTAAAATCAGACAACAACAGGCTGGCTCAGCAAAACACAGTTACAAAACCACCGTCCTCACCAGTATGCTCTTGTAGACATTTCCGTTGCTGACAGACTCCACACTGACCCTGATGATACATGAGTCTGCGACCTGTTTGTTGTAGACGGGCAGTGAGGCCTGAGGAGAACAGCTGGAGGACAAGGACTCAGGGCTCAGCGCCAGAGAGGAGGAGCTGAGGTCTGGATGAGAAGAGCTGCAGGAGGAGCTGGACAGACTGGCAGAGGAGGAGGAGGAGAAGTCCTCTGCTACGTTGTGAAGAGAGCCCGAGAGAGACTGAGGAGAAGACACGGGAGAAAATATCAATATTTGGTTCCTGCCAGTTTCCCCCCTTTTTTTAAACCAGCTATGTCCCTGCTGACAACAAACAGCTGCTGCTCATACCTTGAGTTTGAGTCTGAGGGGGGAGGGCTGAGGGACGGAGAGGTCCTCCATGTCTGAACTGCTGGAGCCCGAAGATGACACACTGATCTGATCAGCGTGGGTCTTCCTCAGGGAGCTGTCACTGGCTGTTCGCAACCTGCACACACAATTCAACCTGAAGGTTGGCTGAAATTGTTTTTCCAAAAACTTTTTTGTTTATAAAGCATCACTGGATCACACACCAGTAAACAAATACTGAGTCCTCTAGTGTCTGATTCCAGCATTAGAGGAGACTTTTTTATGTTCATGACTTCAGCCATTTATTATTAAAAACATATGTTAAGTTTTATTTAATTGTTAATTAACAGGACATTTCAAACACTGTATGTATCACACAATTATCTATTACTGTGTGTCTATCATTCTATCATTATGCACAACTACATTAAAAGGTCCCAAATTGTATACAGTGAGGTTTCCATGTGTTATTTGATTATAAAGCAGGTCTAGGTTCTATATTAATACTGTGAAAGTATCAAAGCGCTCAGTCCACAGAGAAATGCACACAACCTGTATTCAGAAACTGAGCCTTAAAACCAGCATCAGGACTTCTGTGACACGACAAAGCAGTCACCGCTCTCAGCCATGCCAGGTTTTTGGTACTTAAAACCACAAATATAATTTCTTATAGATCAACACTTAAATAAAACACAGGAAAAGCATAAAATATGGGACCTTTAACTTTTTGAATAAATCCAAAACACACTGAGTTCTGACAGGTTTTACATGAAGCTGATCTTCCAGACTTACGATGCGAGCTTCTTAGTGAGTAGGCGACTGCTCCATGAGTTGGGAGAGCTGGGACAGGGGTCGACTGGAGGCTCCAGCTCACGGGACAGTTCATAGCTTCAGAGGACAGAAAAGCAGAGACTAAGATGTGATGCCAGCAGCTTTAATTGTCTCGATACTGAATTGCACGGGTGTCAGTGTGTGTCTCACCTCTCCTGGTCTGTGAGCAGTGTGTGTGCCTGCAGCCAGGCAGTGATGTGAGGATTCACTGAAAGGCTGTAGTGGGAACAGGAAGCCTGGAGCTGTCGAATCTGGGAAAGAATCTCAAACTCCTAAAAAAATAAATAAAAAAATAATAAAACAAGGCACAGGTAAACTACTGGAACAGAAAAGAATGACAGAGTGTAAAATATAAACTGAGGATGTTGGTAGTCATTCATATAAGACACCACTAGGGGGCGACACCTACCCGTCTGCGCTTCTCAAAGTTGATGAGTCCTCCCTGTGTAAAAGGAAAAACAATATGGCATCATAAATCTATTAAAGTACCATAGAACAAATGAAAACAAAACAAAAGTTGGGTTTGTGGGTGTGATGTGTACTCACCTCCACAGTGTCAGTCAGTGCTGTATCCAGCATGGTGAGGACAGTCAGGTAAGTGCCCAGGTACGGCACAACACCTCTGCTTAAGCTCTGAGGGCAAAAACCAAGCCGTTCGTTTACATTTTGGTCAGTATGACTGCTTGAATGTCAAAAGAGAGAATCAACTTATTCATTTTTCTCTTAAATATTTTAATTCAATATGTCAATTTAATACAGTTGCACAGACAGGATATTAAGATAACTCAATGAAAATACAAGAAGAAACTGAGCCACACACAAGTGAAAGCACAAGACCATCACTATTTAAACAGAGTGATTATGGGGGCTATAAAACATTTACACACAGCACCACCCAGACTAAGTAAACCGCTGAACTGTGGGAAACACTGCACACACGTCAGCTTTTATATCCTCTCCTATGTAAGGGAGAACACCAACAGTCACGCGAGTTGTAACTGTGCAAACTTTTTCCATTAAATGAACAGACTGAAAAAGAAGAAGAGGGAACTGGAAATCTGAAGTCTATTTTAGCTTGAAAACATGTGACATTTAGGGAAGGAGAACTGATGATCCAGGCAGATAGAAATATATCTCTGCCTTTCATTTTCTCACTGGCTCACATAGCTGACAAGTTCACTTTATTCTGGCGGTCAAACCGAGAACAAGGTTATTTCCAAACTGTATGACTATTTTCTTACCATCTGTCTGGACACTGAGCAGAGCTGCGGAGATTTAGGGCCCGGGGTGGCACTGCTGTCTGGGTGACTCGCATCCTGCAGAAAACAGACGGCAGTCACGTCAGTGCTGATAGAACAAATGAACTGAATGTTAATGTGAGAGCTGGGTGTGAGTTTACAGTTTGTTCTTTTCAGAGTTGACACCTGCTGCAGGGTGTGGGAGACTGTGTGAAACCTATGGCTTCCAAACAATCCTATCCACATAGTTACACCCTGTTGTGTTATTTATCCCCTCAGGTGTGCACTGTGTGTGTGTGTGTGTGTGTGTATGTGTATGTGAATGTGTATGTGTGTATGTGTATGTGTATGTGTATGTGTGTGTGTGTGTGTGTGTGTGTGTGTGTGTGCGCGCTAAGAGACTATTAGACAGCATGCAGTCAATGAAATAAATACATCTTGATTAGCACCGGTGCCACTTTTATTTGTGGTTTTATTTGTCTTGGCCACTAAGAACGGCTCTTCCATTGTTTCATAGAAACCTGGCTGCTGATAACAGCGATATCACTGAATACACATTCATATCAATTGTTTTGCACATGGGATAAAGGACACACAGTGGCAAGGGAACTGGAGACTTACATCCAATCTTTAGATTTAAATTGTTAAAAAAAAGACAAAAGAAAACATGAGATTAGGCCATAAAGAGGAAAACTAATTAACTATTAGAGGCCATTTATGCAAAAAACATTATTTATCAGATGTTTAAGAGAGGGACTTTTCTGAGAATCATACTGACAGGTTGATGAGTGTGGAACACTTTTCATAATACACTGAGGTTACAGGTATTTTCATTATTCTTTATTCTGTCGATTATTTTTCAATTAATGAATTAAAGCTGAATGCTGTAAAATGTCAGAAAATAGTGAAAAATGTCCAAGGTGACATCTTTAAATATCTTGTTTTGTCTTACAAACACTCAAAACCTAAATACAGTGTTTTTACAGTTAGAGAAAAATAGAGAAAAGCAAATCAACTGCAATCAGAGAGCAGTTGAAATTTTTGATTGATTACACAACTAAATTGACAGAATAGCTGCCAATTAATTTTCTGTCAGTCAACTAATTGTATGTACAGTTTTAACAATGCAGAATCCCAGGAGCCTTTTATGAAGGAAAAACAGGCATCAACAAGTCAAACAAAGCTTCCATGCTGCACAGTAGGAAGTAACCTGTTACCACCCATTCCTCGGGAAACAACTAGCTCACTTGTTGAAATAATAGCTGTACAGTTCTTTCCCTCATTAATTAGGCATGGTCATTAGTCCACATTTCCCCACACACCAGTTTACCTCCACAAGGATCTCTCTGGTGGTTAGCACACAGTTCTCATCAGGGAAAGTCTCACACAGGTTGTCAAAGGTGGCCATGCTTTCCCTGAAACCAAAACATATTCAATCTGTTAAGACAATTTTTCTTTCTGTAGAGTCGATATTCGGCACGCTCAAAAACATTTAATAATTCACTGTAATCCATTGATTTAATATCTTTATTCTTTCTCAGTCAATTTTCACTTCCATTTTTATCACTTCGTGCCCTAAAAAGTAACTCAGTGGTTCATTTGACAGAAGTCTGTTTTATAAGTTCTGTCTTGAAATCATTTGCTGACCTGCTGACAGCAGCCCAGGTCTTCTTGAGGCAATACACGGCGTTGGACTGCAGCGCTGAAAGGATGGCCCTTAAAGAGGAGAAATTCTTCAGCTGTCTGCACTCCTGCAGAGACATATGCACAGTTGTTATGCTTTTTTTTTCACAAAAGATTTATGTCAGTAACTGTCAGTAACTTCAAATTATTTTCTTCCCTGACCTGTGCAATGGCGATCCACCTCTCAATGATGCGTGCTCTGTGGGAGGGGTTGGTGTGCGAGGAGCGAGGTGAGCTCGGGGCAGTGGAGGGGTACAGGAAGGTAGAGGAGGAGACGGGTGATGAGATGGGAGAGGAAGTGGAAGGGCTGGGTGAGGACGGGCAGAGGAGCGAAGTGATGACACGGTTGGTGACGGCGTTGAACTGGGAGATGGTGGCGCGGACGGTGGGTGCCAAGTTTCGGTTTTCTTTCTTGTCACGCTGTGACCAGACGCAGCCCAGGCAGTGGAAGGGCACCACTCTGACAAACAGGTCCTGAGGGAGAGACAAGGACAAGGAGACACGATATAAGTGAGTGACCCGCGGTGACATGGAAGGGAGCTTTGAGATATTTGTTACTGAAACCTACGGCGTCCAGTCTGGTCAGCTGCTCCGCTATTTCTCTGACAGGGCAGTCCATGAAGCTGTATCTGTCTTCCTCCTTAACGGACGTCTCTCCTCCGTCCACCTGATCTCTGGGCTCCTGCTGCAGTGATTCACCCCTGTGCAGTGAGTGGCTGCAATCTGTCGAACACACGCAATCATAAATGACAACAAAACAGGTCGTTTAGCAGAGAACACGGGCGAACGTGCAACAAAGCACCACAGCATGAAGGAGAAAGAAAGTGGAGTCAAAATGTCCTTTTTTATTACCATGATTTGTTTTGTTTTTGTTTTTTTTAAAACAAAAGGAGGAATTAATGAGGTATTTCATGTTATCTGCAGGAGTCTGTTTTAGTGAATAGCATGAGTATTTGTCTCAAAAGAGTCACAGCCACTTTTCATGCTAAATAATGTTACTTTTCTTCTTGCTATCTCGCTATTCATTCTCTCATTCTAACGCCAAATTTGTTTGCACTGAATGAAAATTGTAGAGCTGTTGAACAGAGTCCTTGACAGTCTGGAGCAGTGAATCTACTTTGAATAAAAGGATGGTTCATTTATAATAGAAGTGGTGTAACAGATGGATCGTCTGCAAACCATGTTTCCTTTAATATGAAAATCTATGCAGCAAAGTGGCTGAAACTCCATCAGATCATGTATTTAATACATCATGTATCTAGAGTACACATGCACAGACACCACCGTGAGAGCACTGTGGCTGCAGTACATGGATTGTGGTGGCAGGACATTAACAGACAATATGTGACCGCATCTCTCATTTCTTTGTACCTCGTTCCTGGACCCTCTTGAGTAGGGTCTCAGCAGTCTGAGCCAAACGTCTGAAGCACAGACGATGTCGCAGGTGCACACACAGCAGTCTGAGGGCCTGGTGCGGAGGGGGCTCATGGAAGTCTTCACTGTATTCCTCCAGCCACAGCCGAATCACAGGGGGTAAGGTACTGAGGGGAGGGGGGTGAGGTTAGTTAGTAGGACAGTAATAAAAGGCTGCTGTAGTATGAGCCAATGTTAAGCTTTGATTTTACTACATTAAACTCAATTTGGCAAAACCAAAATAATCTTTGTAAACAGAAGAGTGACGACACCTACCTGCGAGGGCAGACCGTGTTGTCCAGGTTGGCGTTTAAGTCCTCTCTGTGGAAAAGGAAAACACAGTTATCTATCATCTGAGAACTACATATCAGTGGTGGAACAGTGCTGTGACCTGGTGACAGAAAACATCCTGTAAACAACCAAGCTCACTGGGCTGATCCTCTGTGACTGTTCACTTCCTGTGGAAATGTCCTGCAACACTTTAAATCCCTGAAGAGACACTGTGGCCTTGTTATGAGGTTTGAAGAGCAAACAGACAAATGTCACCCTCAGTGATTAATAATGGCATCGTAAAAATATATATGTGACTAAAGTACCTGAAATTTAAAATGAAGGTGCTTGTGCACAATGAAAAGTAACAGGTCACATTTAGGGAGCAAATGATAGAATGCTATGTCTGGAGTTTATAAAATAACAATCACCGTCATCAACATCACAATCACGCAGGAGCTGTCACGCTACAGTACAGGTGGTTTAGAAGGTAATGACAGCAACATAACATCCCGTACAAAATCCTGTAAGGCAAAGGAGGGAAAACACACTTCCCAGGTTACCCTGAGGCCGAGCTCACATCAAGCTCACAGGAAACCTGTTGCCACCAGCACCTCAGATATGAGGGCGACTGTTTGACAAATAACATACCTACCCCACAGTACTAATGGCCAATTTCAAACAGGCGGCAATATGTAGCACATTAAGCAAAGGTGAGCTTTAAAGCACTGATAAAGAACTGATAGAGAGAAAGAAAACCTCCTTGGGAAATGTCTACTAATTTCTATAAGTGGCCCCTTGGGAAGAGCTAATGGCCAAGGAGTCTATTTGTGACACTTATTAGTTGCAGATGAACATTTGCAAAATTAAATCTGAGCTTCAGTCACATGAAGAAGCTCCTCCGTTGGGTGTGGCGGGTGTCATCATGACAACTCAGGAATGAAACAAAGCTCCTGGGTGCTTTGTTCAACTCATGACGATAAGACCTGTCATAGAAACTTGCCCTGGGTCAACAGAGATGGTGTTACGCTGCTGTCCTGTCCTGTCCTTGAGGCATGCTGTAAAACTTGGGTTACACGTACAGTAAGCTCTATTTACATTTGTATACAGTGACACACTTTTTAAAGAGTAGCACACACCGGAATAACAAATCAATGAGTACTAAGTAAAGACGCAAATACTAGAACCATCAAATCTGTATTGTGCTTTGATAACGAGAGGTGTCACAAGGTCCAATAACACTTAACTGATGTCACTTTTCATATGGTAAAATTAGTCAGTTAGTTCAACTCAGTCAAATCCTAAAAACCGTTTTACTGTTACTACTGTTTCATGAACTTCTATCCCTTTTATTATTTTATCAAAAAATCCATGTGATTTAGTCTTTGGAATAGACTTTTCCAAGCACAAAATATAGGCCGTTTTTCAAGTCAGCTGCACTTATTCACTTTCCAAGAGTTAGATGAGAAGATCGACACCACTCTCATGTCTATACACTAAATATGAAGCTGTAGCCAGCAACTGGTTAACTTGGCTTGGCATAAAGACTGGAAGCGGTCAGCTGTCTCTGCCCAAGGGTCATTAAATCTCCCATAAAACTGCAAGCTGTAAGTGGATTCTGTCACATTAAACAGCTAGGCTACCCATTTCCCCATTTCCAATCTTTATGCTAAGCTAAGCTAACAGCTGCTGGCGGTAGCATCATATGTGGCTTATTGAGAGTGGTATTAATCTTCTCATCTAACTCTCAGCAAGAAAGCAAATAAGCAACTTTCCCAGAATGTCAAACTAGTCTTTTGAACACAGGATCTCCGTCAGGAGAAATCTTTAGTGTTGAACGGAGCAGATCCCTCTGAGTCAAACATCAACAATGACCTAATATGTGGGCTTACAGAGCAGCTGACTGTGCCCTCATGGTTTTTGTTAACTTATGTCTCAGCTCAACAAGACTCTGCAGAGCCTCGGTGTGGACAGTTTCTCACCTCTGAAACAGCAGCTCAATGAGGGTGCTGGCCGAGGTGAAGGCTCTGTAGGTGGAGAGGAACACACGGGTGAAGTCAGGCTCCTGGTGTTCGGTGTCCAGCAGGTGGGTGACCAGACGCTCCAGGGTGGCAGCCTTGAGCCTGCGAACCTTCACCGTGTGGTACTGGACGAAGCTGAAGGCTGTGGGGAGCTCTGCTGTGTCAGAGCTCGGCATCACGGGCTCCCTACGCAGTGTGATGCCAAACACGGCACCGTCCTCCTCCTCCTCCCCCCACTCCTGCACTGGGTCCTGCGAAGAAATACAAGGTCATCAAGATCTGGCAAATAATAGGCCAAATACATAATATGGCCTATTTTCCTCATTTCTTTATGATAGTACAGGCTACTAAATAATGCACTTGAGAGCTAGTTGAAGTGTCACATAAAACAAAATGGAAAAACAATAATTCACTGAACATTTAGAAGAAGTGCACATTTGTATTTCTCAATATAAGCTCATTTTGTGCAAATACATGCATTGCAGAAATGAAACTAAACTAAATATCCTCAGTATGTTTCCTACCTTATATAAATTCATAGCTTTCTAAACAGTCATGAAGCTCCTTCGACGCAGGCTGCTTAACTGAATGACTGTGACAATCTCACATATCTGCAACAAATACCTCATGACAAATGCAATAAGCCTTCAAACCGAGTAATGTCATTAAAAGGGTCAAACTCAATGTCAATTAACCTCATTCTTGAGATTCTGGCTGTGACCCAACCTTGAACTGTGACGCAGACAGACACCTGGTGACTGGACCGATGACTTGCCAGAGAGGCTTTCACTGCCCGACGTGTTTACGTCTATGACACAGTTTTTTCTTAATTCAATTCTGTCTTTACACTTGTTTTGTTTTTTGTTTTTAAGGATAACAACAGCATCACATTTCTCCTCAAATATCATCACATGTTACAAACTGTAGAGAAGCAATGGTAGGTGGTGACGAGAGATCAGGAGGTCTTTGTTGGCTCTGAACTGGTCTTGAAGGGGAGAAGTGAAGGCATGCAAGTGTCAAGGATATGGACAACTATAATATCACAACAATTATTGGAAAATTAGCTCTGCATCAGAGTGTTTTATTTGATAAAGAACATTTTATTTATCAAAGAGTGAAATTGAAATAATTTTATGCTGTGTTTTACTGGACAAAATCCTGACATTTGCAAACAACAACATGAATAATATCTAATATCTGATAGTGTGGCAAATGTTGATTTTTTTGCAATCATTTAACACGAGGACCGAGAAAACATGAATAGCCTCATAGTATTGTCTGTATGCTTGCCTATTATTGATCTTATATGTTAGCACTTGTCCTATCTTCTGTCATCTCATGTGTTTTTTTTTCTTTTTTTGGCTTGTCACACTATTCCACCAATGTTATATGTTAGCATTTGTCTACTATGTCATCTTATATTAGTCATATATATGTCATCTTTTGTCACACTATTTCACCAATAAAAGGGAAAATAAAAAATAATGACCTTGGGGTCCCATAAAAAAAAAGAAAAAAAGAAATGAACAATAATATTCAATTAAACCCCACTAATACAAGATTGTTTTTTTACTGTAACGTCATGTGACAAGTTAGTGGATGTTGGTTCAAGAAAATTTATAAAAATAATACGTTACACCTGTACTCTGAATGTGCTGACTGCAGAAGTCATTCAGGTTACAACTCATTCAGGAGACAACTGATAGTCCTAATCAAAACAGAGAAATAATAATATCAATCATTTAACTAATTTCCCCCTGGGGATCAATAAAGTGTTCTGATTCAAATTTAGCCTAGATTAAGACTTGCAACAGATGTGTACAGTTGTGAAGGTAGGATTTATTGTCGGGCTGTTGAATTAGACTGTAAAAGCTAGGTGTGCCTAATAATAGTGAAAGTACAAAGCACAGGACCCAGACTGAGGAGAGTTGTTATGAAAATGAAGCCCGACGCTGAGCAGAATACCTGGTTGTCAGTCCATCTTCAACAAGTATTCACAGCCCTGGAATGAGGCTCTATGACTGGACTGGTAAAAAAGCATGTGTTCATACTCTCTGAGTTATCTGGCACACATCTAACAAAAGAAGCAGCCTATGCTTGAAAACACCTGATATCACATGACAGAAACTCAAGACAAAAACCAGTGTGCTAGCTGCCAAACACAATGAGACTGGTGGATCTACACAGCCTCCACTCATAGTCATGTTATCGTTGTGTTTGTGCTGGTGGCCAGAGAGAAAATAATTAGGTTTACTACTAGTGTAAACCCGAAAAACAAATAAAAAGTTTTACGTCATTAAACCTACCATCGATAAATGCCATTTTCCCATGTTTATCTCGCTCTTGTGAGTGAATAAATCCCAAACTCCTGCTGCTGTTGCTGTGGTAACAGCACCGCGGTGGTCAAGGACTCAGCTGCGTCCTCCGACAGCTCACTTCAGTCTGAATTATTTCGGACACTCTCATTTTTGAGAAGGCGATAAAATGTGAAGATGAATTATGTCCAGGCACAGGAGTTGAACACAGGCAGTGGACGAACCAGTTTGACAGCGGAGAAGGGACAGGGAATGAGCAGCACTTCACTTGGCGTGGCTAATGAGTCAAGTATGGGCGGGGCTAATAATATGGACCAATGACAATAAAAGGATACATGGTTTTAGATTATATTATGCAGATTTTAAATATGAGGCTCTGACTGGAAATAAATGCCATTGTTACTGCTGACATTGTTGCAAGTAAAAACAAAACTAAATCGAATAAAAAGTTAGAGGGCTACCTAATAGCTTGTCCCTATTACTTTAATTAATATTACAGTTATCAGTACTATTCTATCTGTTTCAGCAGCTATTTACAGTACAGCTGGTGGTAGTAGCGTACACATGGGGTCAACCTATGAGCTCAGTGGTGGAAAAGTATTCAAACCCTTTAAACTATTTCCCATTGCAAAAACTACTCAAACAGTAGAAGAGAAGTCCTTCATTTGAAATAATATTACTTAAAGAAACGTAAAGCTTCAAGAGTACAGTGCAGTAGTAAAAGTTAGTGTAAATGTAAATATATATGATGTTTTGTCATTGATAAGACATCCAACAGTGTCGTGACTGTGGACCTGGGACAGCCAGTATTCCCAGTTAGAGATGAAGGCTGTGGGCTCTGGTGTCAGGATCAACAAAACCCCATAATGGTTCATATCCTGCCTCAGCTAGAGGCCGACAGTATGACTGCAGAATATGAATACACTCATTCACTTCTCTTGAAGCAGAAGATGTGCAGTCACAAACCCACGTATTATAACCCTTTGTAAGACTTTGAAACCTTTCATCCAAAAAAGAGAAAAGAGATATTATTCTGAGGCTTGACTGTCTACCTTATGCCTTATGAGTGTTGGTATAAGACACATATTACATAATGAATTATTATTATTTTCATGGCGCATTAACATCCATGTGGGCGGCACGGTTGTGCAGTGGTTTGCAAGAAAGTTCTGGTTTTGGACCTGCTGTCTGACTTGGAGTTTGCATGTTCTCCCTGTGCCTGCGTGGGTTTCGTCTAGGGACTCCAACTTCCTCCCACAGTCCAAAAACATGCAGGTTAGGTTAACTGGTTAACTGGTGACTCTACATTGTCCATACATGTGAATTTGAATATGAATGGCTGTTTGTCTAGCTTGTCATAGACTGGCAACCTGTCCAGGGTGCACCCCCCTCTTGCTTGTCAGCTGGGATTGGGTCCAGCTCCCCCTCAAAGGATAAGCAGTATAGCTAATAGGTGGATGGATTAACATCCATGTGTGAAGGTGAATTATGTGAATACGTTTATAGAAATTTCTACTAAAACACCGAATCTAAGACACCACTACTAGTGTGGTTGTATCCCAACTTTAGGTCCAGCTCATGACTGTCATAGATTTTCTATTCAATTCACTGTGGACATGTTGTTTCTAAACTTTGGCAGAGACAATATTGTGACATCTGGTGGCCAAACATTAAAGAGATATCTTTCAAAGAATCCAATTTGCTCAGGTTGTCTATCTGGATCAAGAACAGGCCCGACAGCTTTAAACAAGCTACACTTTCTATCAGGAAATGTTTATTTTCAACTTTTCAAGATCACCACAGATAATTTTGCAGGAAGAGATTGAATGCAAGATTCTCATGGAGATATTTTTGTCAACTAGAAGCTACGAACAGTGCATGCCAATGCCTCTGAATCTAAAAGAATCCAGTCGGGACAGTTTTTCTCAACAGCTTCTAGCTTATGTCCCTGCCTATGGTGACCGGGGAGTAGTGGGGACATACCACATGAAACCGGTCTGCCGTGCTCCTAAAAAGCGACGTCAACATTGTGGCTTCAACGAAGCACGTATCTGGAAAAATGTGTAAACTAAGAGCTTTTGGTGGGACTGAAAAATTTCCTACATTAAATTGACTAGAAGCAAAAAATTATAGTAAAACTGACAAGCAGAAAAAATGGGATGTCTTTAATCAGGCCGTCCACTGCCTTTGTAGCTCAAAAGAGAAGAATGAGCTTTTTGTTTCTCTAATGAGTTTCTCTCCTTCTCTCTGAACTGAAAATCTACCATCATTCTCCCCTGTTTGTCCATGCCACCCGGCCTTTCTACAGAGGCCGAACAAAGGAGCAGAGAATCAGTGCCAGGAGAGACCCACAATTAGTACTAATTAGACACATGAATGGGTGATGAGGTGGCAGGCAGGCAATGAGCCAAAACACGATGATGCCGAAATATGCTGGTTGAAGTAACTTCCTCAAAACTTCACACGGCTTTTAGCTGAAAATGTACAGTACACCCACAGGAATATGATCTGTCCACTGCAGTTCCTTCTCAGTGACGAGAATATAGCTCCTGCTGTGAATGACGCCTCAAGTGAAAACATGTTCAGCATAATGGGAACAATGGTGGAAGTCCCCAGAGAAAAACCCAGTGTAAACAGCAACTGAATATATGACTGTTCCATCACAGATACAGATACAGATACAGTGAGTGCATCAGCAGCCAAATCAGCCCTCATAGTGATAGATTCCTGACTTGTAAATGACAGAGGAAACTAAATCTAATGGTAAACTTCATCTAGGAAACAGTTAATTCAAATGAAAAGAGCCATATCAACAATTCAAAATAACATTACCTCTATACTAAAGGGGCTGATGGGAGATTAAAGGGTAGCACTTGTAGGATGCCAACACATGTTACTGGTGTTGATGTTGGAACGGTTTGTAACACACAACACTATTTGACAACTGATTAATCTCTTAAATCAATTATCAAGGAAAATGCAAATATTGGTGTAGAGCTGGAATGATTAGTTGATTAATTGATTCACAATCAACAAATTCAACAACATCCTTTGGGGTTTTGGATTGTTTGTCCACATCAATATGGACATTTCTCAATATTTCCTGAAATTTTATAGATCCATTAATTAAGAGGAGAAATCTGTAGATGAATCACTAATGAAAATGATTGTTTGTTACAGCCGTTTAGGTCAGTGATTCATTACTACCAGTCAAAGGTGTGACTTGATCTTTTCACTGAACTCTAGTAGTCAAACAGGCTCAGACATTTGAATCCGTTAACTAATTTAATCCATTAACTAACATATAAATCTTGAAATTCTAATAACCAAATTCCCAGTGGATGTTCTATATCATATCATATCATATCATATCATATTATACTGCAATATCTCCTAGTGCTAAGTGGAATACCCCAGAAACGTTAATATTTCTATGTTTCCATGATGACCTCTACAGACCTGTTTGACCAAAGGCTTGGAAAAACCTGGGTGTTTACAGTGGAGATGAGTATATTGATGCTCTGACCTCTTTTTGTTATTTCCATGTATGATATTCTGACAACCCTGATGTAAGAAATCACTGAACTTAATTAAGATGTTGAGACGAGAGAATTTGTAAAATGCAACAAAATGAATGTCAGTTAACAATGTCAGATGAAGGAAGTCCTCTCTGGATGATGTTTGAAAGCCTGTGTAGTTTTGTCATAACTCACCTCATATTGCGCATCAGTGTCTAACATCTGGAAGCTCCTCAGCCACACGCCGGGCTCCGTGTCCATGTGGACGTCCACGCACTGATTCGGCCTCAGCCACAGCAGCTTCCTCATTCTGCCCATCCTGCTGCGGAGGCCGCGGGACTCCCCACCATCACCGCCTCCACACACAGCGAGAATGGTCCTCATCTCCAGCTCTGTGTCACGCTACAGGCCCACACACCTCGTCAGATCTCTCCCACACCTGCTGCCTCATCTGTGTCAGGGAGGAGAGCGTGAGTACAGTCAGCCACAGTCCCTCGCACTATCATTTTCTTTATTTCCAAACATCAGAGTAGTGTCCAGGTCAGCTGAAAGCGTTAGCAACTTACATTATAAAACCCCCTGGTTTCATTAAACACAGACCAGCTCTAAAAAACTGGGTCAGTGGCAGTTAAACATGAGTATGAAATCACAATTAGATTAACCATGCTGGGTTAGAAACAGGGCAAATGGCTCAGCCAATTACCAGCAGCACAGATAACATAAACAATTTGAATTCAGATAATTCTCTTCATAAGAAAAAAGCTGCATGTAAAACCCCTTAACTACAGACAGGAGCTACAACCTATAACCTATAAAATCCTATTTTGTCTTAATGAACTGAGGAATTGTCTCTTGAATTGGAACAACTTTATAGCTGGCAACAATCTGTGCCACAAACAAATATAAAAAACACACCGTATAGAGCATATAAATGTCAGCTTTGCTTTTACTGAATTGACAGCACTGGCACATTTTGTATGCTAAAGTGGCATGTTAATCACTTAAGGAAAACATGAAGACTGCAAGGAAAGAGTCTGTAACTTTACGGTCAATAACCATAAAATACTTCTTATAGGTATAAAATTCACATTATTCATTTACATATACAAAGCACAACCAATCATAACTATGGTGTAGGCCTACCAGTGTTTCTTTTACCAGAAAAATCAGGATATCGTAGCATTCAAACAATTGTTTTAATAAAATTAAACACCCACAAAAGTAAAGAAAATAATCACTTAACTGTAATTTTGCTTCTCCTGAATCAGCATCTCATGAATCCTGATGAAGGCCACGTTCAGAGCTGTGTCTCTCCAGCTGGACTAATCATGCAGAGACAGTGTGAAACTTGGATGAAGACTCTGGTATTTATCAGAGGACGGATTGTTCTTTGTGTTTGTGGGTGGGTGATGCTCTGCGCATGTTTGTATGTGTGTGTGTGTGTGTGTGTTGGGCTGGCCTCCTCCCTGTTTGGCTGTACTCTGAGATATATAATTACATGCAGTTTTGATTGTATTTTACATCTCATTGTTCCAGGCCACAACCTCCTCACTGGAATAAGACACTGCCCTCATTTTCACCTGGACCATAGATACAAACACTGCAGGACAGGCTACATCAGGATGGTTTGATTCTGCTTAAAGAAAATGCACATTCAAAATAATCCATTCATTTTTCAGTATATATACTGATTTGAATTCGACAGGCTGATGATATTCAGTTTGTTGATAAGATCTTAAATGCGTCTTACCTGCGAGTGGGTCACAGTTTACTCTTCAGACAAGGTGAACGTAATAAAGCCATGACAGTGTCACGATGTAAAGGCTACACAGAGCGCACAGACATGTTTGATTGAGAGATGTTACGGAAACGCTGTCACGCTGCTGGCAGCGATTCAAACTCTGTGCCAGGAAGCGCAGCCCCGCCTCCTCTCGATGATTGGTCGATACGCGCGGATGTATTGATTGACTGCCGATATATTAAACCTGTTTATGAGCCAGTCGGTGTCCAATATCATGGAGGATCTTTCCAAAAAATCTTTTGTTTAAACATGTTCAATTTAATTTTAATTTTTTAATTTTATAGTATGTTAAGTATATTTTAAAAATAAGGTAGGCTATATGTACTATTTACATAATGAGTAAACAGGTGGATATGTATAAATACTCCTGGACAAAAATTACTCCTACACAAGTGAAAGTTGTTCAGTCAATTTTTTACTCAAGTAATAATACCGGAGTCCTTGCTTTTAAAAATAGCCCATGTAAGTATTCAAAAATAAAAAATTTTATGTCAACGCATTGTTGTCTTGTTCCACTCATAACTCTGAAACAACCCACTGAATGCACCGACTTCTAACCCTGAAGAACATGTAGAATAAAAAGCTTGTAGAATATACTACAAAGCTTTAGAGTTGGTCATAAAACCCATATTAATCAACATTTCAAATTTCTTTATTTTATTTTACATGCCACACCCATCATATAATACCATGGCAGTGTTCTGACACACCTATGGCAATGTGTGTGGGTGTGTGTGTGTGTGTCCATCAAACAGACAGTGGAATTGTTATGGATGCAACTCCCATAAGAAAAAAAAAAACCCAAAACAACCTGACCTACTTACACACCTCTATCTTCTAACATAGCCATCATTAGGCCAAGTTCATACTGAGCTGTTTAGAAATAAAGAAAACACATGATGTAGGGTCACTTCATTTGAAAGGGTCACACAGCAAAATAGTTGAGAACCACTAGTCTAAATAACTAAAGGGTTTCAGTGAGTTTTATTTATGTATACGCAACAATAAACTGGTTAATGGTTGAACATTGACTGAATAATTGCAATTATTTGGGGTGGGAGCAGTGGAATATAAATATGTGAAACATGGGCCACTATAGGCTTAGACAACTGCTGTGTAAGTCAAGGCAATTTCATTTATATACCCCCCAAATCACAAATGTGCCTCTGTATTCACATTCGAAACATCATATTTGTAAAGTGCTGCTGTATCGATTTCCTGAAGATGAAAGGGTGGTAAAAGTTCACTACTGAAAATGTATTATAGCCTATAGCAAAAAAAAGAAAGAGCCATCTGTCAAGAACAGCATAAAAACCCCAATATTGGGAATGAATGTGACATGAATCCAGCTGCATATGAGCACATACTACAAGCACAGCTGCCTGTATTTTCACCTCTCCTAGTACTGTACACACACAAAGAAGCACCTAATTCTTGTGCTCCAATCAATCAGTCAAAGAGTTTTTGTTCACAGCCAAGAGTTGTGGTTACATTGTGTAACTCAGTCAGAGCTGTCAGATGGTTACAGAGAGAGAACACCATTCTATGACATTCAGGTATGAATATTTATTGTTGTGCAAGAAACTCATAGAACAAGACACTCCACCTAACATCCAAGAGCTGGCTCTAACAACCGCAGAGCATTTGAGCAGAGGCAGAATCATTAGTGAGATACTGAACATAGCAGAGATAGTTCAGGTGTTAATGCTACATGTCTACACACAGGGGTGGCTTCACGTGCAGCTTTGAATCCTATGTTACATTCCAGACAAAACATGAGTGTCTTTAGTTTTGACGCGATTCACCTGGGTTTGTCACAGGTGTTGGATTTTCAGTGCAGGCTACAGTGCATCATGTCTTTAAGATAAATCCACTATATTTAAAGAGAAAAACTAGATTAGTCATCTCTCCTACACACTGCACAGCTGTGTATCATAAAAACAGAGTTATCAAAAAAAAGTTAGAGCATTGTTCTGATTGATTTTATTGGTTTTCCGTGAGGCTGCAGGGTGTTAACTCTGAACAGTGAAAAAGAGGTGGAGTGATGAGTGTTGGTGCAACAGTGACACCTGACAGAGAACATTATTGCTGTCACAACAAATCCACTAATAACCAGCATTAAGCTACTGGAACTGTAGACATGAAACATTAATTGGTTAAAATAGCAATGTGAGACCAGGGAAAGTCATTATAAGTTCTTTCTCCTCAACATAAGCTAATTTTACACTTAAATCAGTTTTTGTTCCTTATTTCTTCAAAGTATTGAGACTCTGGTGCTGGATCAGAACTTGCCCTTCTTCTTCTTCCAAGGCTTCTTCTTGGACTTAGAGTCAATGATCAGCTGAGACTGGCGCTTCAGTTCCTCCCGTGAGATGATGTCAACCTCGTCCTCTTCGCTCTCAACCTCTGGGACACAAACAGTGACAATTTAAAAAAGAGAGATGTAGATTGCGTGTGTGTGTGTGTGTGTGTATGTCAGTGGTTCAGAACTCACCATCGTTGAAGAGGTCCAGTCCTTGGTCCTCAGGGAGCTTGACTCGGGTGTTGCAAGTAGGCAGTTTCCTCTCAATCCTGATGTAGAACTGCTCAGAGTAACACACAGAGTGCAATGATGAATGATTAGCACCAGTGACACAAGGATTTTCTACATTTTACAGCGTACCATGGCTGATGTGTCTGAATCTGTCGATAGCAACTGAATTTATTAATACAGCTCAATTTTTAAATCTATAGGTTCTGTTCAAAAAACCATTAACCACTGTTTTTAAGTAAATTTACATATTTGTATTCAACTATTATGATGAGTTATCATGATAATAATTAGCATTGAGTCCTGGAGTGATTTTGGTTTCTACAACCAGAAGGTCAGTCTTTTCTAGACTTCAGGTTTTCCTTAATGATAGACGTACAAGACCATGACAACCAAGCAATGCCCAACAGCAACCGTCAAGCAAACAAGGCGTGCTGATTTTCAAATTATCAGCTCAGAGTTGCGTCAGTTATACAGATTATGCCTCTTAAAATGGACCTGAGAGTAAAATAGCCAATGTCATTAGTAAGTGGCCTACAGACTGTTTGCTATGGTGCGTGTTTGCTATGGTAAACTCTGATATCCCATGTTCTCAAACAGAGAAGGTTCAGCTGAGCGTTAGTAATCAAGAACAAACACTTGAGCTTGCTCTGACGGCTGCTTTTCCATTCAGATAAACTATGCAAGCACAGCAGCATGCATGCATACATGCTCAGCCATGCTGTGTTCATGCGTTGCACTGTGTAATGCAGGTTTAAACAAGAGCCCCAACATTTTCCAGAACTGCATTTACCACTGGAAGTTGAAGCTGTGGTTTCTGCAATTTTTAAGACCATTTTTAAACCACACAGAATGTAAACTAATACAATTTCACAGTTATACCAGCCAATACATGACAGTATGAGGGAAAACCAGTAGGGCTGATATGGCCTAGAATTATTTATCATTTTATCACATTTTATCAGTACTTCCCAGCATTATATAACAATAATTCCTAATGATATAACTGCTTAAATTAAGGCAAAACTGTACTCAAACAAATGGCAGACAAGGGCTGGATTGATTAACCAATTAAAACTAATTCATAATCTAATTTAAATTAGTTTCAGATGTTGTGAAAATGGACACTTGTCCACCAGGATGTGATGACCTTCCTACTGTAGCTACAGTAGCAGTAATGACAGTGTTTGCTGCAGGTCTGATGGTGCTGACTCAAACAGTCCTTGTGCCAACATTCTCTGCTAATGAGAACAGTGTGTACGTTGTGATTCATCTAATGATGTGCCTACGCATCGCCCACACACCTGTTGCTAAAACTACGCAAAGACATTCTGCAAAAGTGTATGAGGACTACCTGTGCAAAATGCAAACCAGTTTTTGACATAATCTCCAGTCCCTGAACCTGTACTTCAAACCAGTGTGATGCCAACTGACTCTCACCTCCTCTTTCTCCATCTCCTTCATAATAGCAGCCAGATCTTTGCCTTGAAGCTCCTCCTGCAGTAACTGCAACTTCAGCTCGCACTGGGTCATCAGCTCCAACACAAACTCATCTGAGTCTGGAGACACATCAGCCACTATGTCCTCACTCTGGAGAGAAATGGAAGAATAGTGAGCATGTGACATAAGCTTGATTGGCACCAGGAATTTTGAGAAGAAAGGAATAACAACCAGTTATCAAAATGGGGGAAAAGAATATAGTCATGATAGTATAAGTCATATTTACCAGTGCGATGTGTGGAAGTTTGTTTGCCAGGTGCTCCACTCCAGCTCGAATAGTCCTGAGGGTTTTAACCAGCCAATCCAGGCGCTCTTTAGCTGCATCGCACCTCTGCTGCTGAGCCTGCAGTTGCTGCTCACACTCTTCCAGGATCTGTTGGTCACTTTTGAAGCGACAGAAAAAGACAGTGACAGAGAGAGAATAAGTATCGCACAGCTGCATACATGACACCTTCCTCTACTACTGTCTCGCTGTCTCACCTGGAGAGTTTGGCCTCTCCAGAATATTTCATATCCTGAAACTGTTGGTTCAGGAGCTCCCTCTGCTCCTTCAGCTGCTGCATGACATTCTCATTCTCTCCCTTCAGCTTCTCCAGATGTTGGTGTGTCTCCTTTTGTGAGATAAAGCGCTCCACTATCTCCTATATGCAGAGTACATGAAAGAATGTATTATGTAAACACTGATAGTAACGTCTTAAAAGTATCAATGAAAAGCATTACACAATAGATATAGTAAATCTTTATGTGTCCACATCCATACCTGTATATCTGTGACTCCAGTGGCCTCCTTGATGCGGCGGAAGGCCTCTTCAAAAGTGGAGACGGCCTTCTCCTCTTCACCTGCCATCCTGGTGGTGCTGCGCTGGGCCTCACTGCTCAGCTCATCTGGCTGCATATTTGCTCTCTGGATCTGCAGGTAGCAAAGTTTACAACCAATCCAAATTACTCATGTTCACCACACATGTAATGAGTGTTGTAGGCCTGTCTGTGGTCATTCAGATATTTGCATGTTTAATCACAAGTGTACATGGCTGGTGACCAAGTATGTAACCAAAAGAGGGAACAACCTCAAAATAAAAGCATACACCAGAATAATATTCTTAAATTGCACATATTGCACAGTACGTAATATCATGTGTATCTTACCCTTCTATCAACTTTTTCAGCCTGGGCCTTGCGCTCCTCAACCTTTTTCCTGTAGCTGGCAATAATACGCTCTCTCTCTTTGCGCTCCTTGTAGAGTTGTTCCTCCTGCTGCTGTAACTCGGCCTAGCAGGAGGAAGAAAGGGAAGGAGTGATGGGCACGGAGTGAGGGAAACAAGGGAAGGAGAGAAGTAAAACCAGCACAGTAAGATAGCAGTGCATTAGTGATGACTATAATTCATAAGTATAGGATACACAATAGAATACAATACACAAGAATGATGCCTCACACTGCACATTTACCCAACATCATGTCTTTAGCTGTGCTCTTATTTTGAAGAAAAAAAAGACAGAAGAGGGAGCAACATTGATTTGGAGAAAAATTGTTGTTTGAACAATCCATAGCGATTGGATATTGTAATGTATGTGAACTTAAAAGTACACAGGTGAATGAACACAGAAAAATTATACAATATTACTTATGACAGTGGTGATGACAGCAATGGTGAGCGAATCATCCCTCTGATGCCTTTACTGGAAACATGCATTTTGTACAACTTGTAGAGTAAGTTATGGCTCACCTTAGCAACCTCTTTAGAGAGCTGGGCATCATTGTTCATGACCTGCAGGGTGTGAAGCTCCTGTCTGTGGTTCAGGATTTCTGCTTCCATACTGTCCAGCTGGCCTTGGAAAGTCAGACTCTCCTCCTGAAGTGGTGAACGTGGAAAAGTGAGGGACGGACAGAGAAAAGGACAGAAAATGTGTATAGGAGGGAAGGAGAGAAGGAGGAGATGTGTGAGAATAGAAAAGATTTTGTAATTAAAGCCTAAGCTATTAATGTGTTAACATAACAGCAAAATGTATAAATATTGAAAAATAAGCATAAGAAATTTAAGTGTGACATTTAAGTATTCAAGAAACTACAGTATCTGTTGACATAAATTCTTGAATACAAGAGCTCAAGTTAAGTGCAAACAGAGGTAAAGTGAGCTTGGGACAGGAAGTAATATTCCACTGTGGATGTCTCACTCGACATCTACAAATCACAGATACATATTCCCACATAATGCACAAAAACAGCAAAGCGCCAATAGTACTCCAGCAACATTTCCAGCAAGTGAGGATAAGTTTGTGTGATGCAAAACAATTTTTTTCAGATTAAAAATGTGCATGTTGGACAAACCTGCAGGTGACTTTTGAGTTTCAGATAGTTAGTCATGATGTTCTCAGCCTCCTTGCACTTAAACTGGGTCTTCTCCAGACTGTTCTCCAGTGCCCGCAGATTCTGAAGACACACACACACAGACACAGCATTGTTTACAAAGATTTTTTATCTCTGTGTGGATTCATCTGTCACCAAGAAGACAGAAAATTAGCATTTTTTGTGCTTTGAATATCTCTACAGTGAGAGGTAAATACTATGGCATCTTCCTCTTTTCTACGAGTGCGCGCATCAGCAGACTGTGCTCCACTGCAGCCCTCTGGTTTCTTTCTCTGGTACTCCATCTTAAGGTCTTCAAGGCGCCGTTGGTAGGTCTGGGTGGTGTGTTTTAGGGCATTCAGGCGCTTCATCTTTGACAGCACCCTTTGGTCCAGTGTTGTCAGGGCCACCTGAGAAAAAGTGTTAGAGGCAGACATACAGACAGGGAGAGAGAAACAGATTGAGTTGAACAAGTTAGAAACTAGTTTGAGAACTCTTTTCTGAGGACATATTAGATTTTAAATTTTGTTTTTACATAGTTATCATCACAGGCTAAGGTGTAAGGACAGTAATACCGAAAACATTTTGTTGTCTTTTATATTTATTCTCCTTCCTCTCACCTTCCCTGACATGTTGCGGTAGGCATCCTTCTCCATGCCTCTGTTATGAAAGGCCACTTTGATGATATGTTCATCACCCTAGGAGGCAATACACCAAAGTGAATTACAGTGTAACTGCTGAGAAAGCTATGATCTGTTTAGTTGTTGCTATAAATAAATGAGAACAAAAAAAACAAAACAAACAAAGAGCTGAAAAATTAACCTCAATTCAGTGTGGATATACTAAACTTACAGCATTAGCCTCTGCCAGTTTTCTGTACAGCCTCTTGTTCTCCTGCCTCAGCTGGAGGATGGACTCTCTGTTCTTCTTGATGGTGGACTGAGAGCTCTCATAGTATGCAGCTCGGTCGCCCTCTGGCGGACACGTTTAATTGTTACACCAATAATATGTCTCATTATTTACTACTAATACAATTAACCAAGTGCTGTTTCTGTTGGATTTAGTCATGGGATAAGTTAAGGTGGCAGGACACATTGTCACACGAAATGTGATAAAATTAACCTAAACGTAACAGCTAGCTAACTGTAGCAGAGCACATGTCCTTTAGCATAAACTGATATCGACGCTCAGACTATTTTGAAACAAACTTACCAAGCAGTTGGATTTTACGCTGCATCTCCGTTATTTGGTCATGCAGCGGAGGTTTAATTGCGTTTCTACTGAGCGGCATTTTTTTCTTTTACTGTTGAAAGTTACACATTTAAAAAAGAAAATAAAACCCACAGTCAGCGATAGCTCAACCTGAAGGTAGAACTCCAGTAGTTGCTTAGCAACCTGTACACTTTAACCCTGTGGGTGGAGCTCTACAGTCACCGGTGCAACAGTAACCTTTAAGTTTTCATGAAAAATGATGCGTTTATGTGAAAAGTAGAAAACACTATAGCAGTAACTTAGGGCTATATGTCTATTCTTAGTTACTAAATTCACCAGTTAACAGTTTCTTTCTTTCATTTCATGTTAAAAACTAACAGGTAAGTTATAATGGGATCCATATAGACAGATACAGGAAGCTATAGGCTGAGGCCTATATTTTGCTCGATTATGACCACTTTACAGAGTTTTATATCTATATTCATATAACATAATTTTATATTTAAATGTTATTTTTCAGGATTAGCAAATATTTTTCCCTTAAATGAGCATGAGTGCTAAAAGCAAACAATTAACATGTTACTTTACCCAAAGAAACCTAAGAAGCAATTGTCTTTTTTTCTTTGAACACTGGTATGGTAACACAAACTTTTATTAGTTTACAACAAAGTGAGAGGCAGTGTAAAACTTTACAGACTTAAAATGTATACATTAATCCTGGCTATGTTTTATATCAAGTGGAGATTATGAACAAAAAAGAACACAAGCCATATAAAAATAAGCACTGCAAGTTCAAGTTATGTTACATATGTAATCTCTAAAGGCTTTAAGAAATATACTAAGTTTTTAATTGCCTGCAATTTAGCAACTTTGCTTTGGTGAGTTAATTTCAAACAGTGCAATATGTTTAGTTAAACTGATAAAGCACAGCTTTACTCGTGTATCAGGTTACATCTGTTAAAAACTGGACATATCATTGAAAGATCCTGGACCCTCCAAAGCTTCCATAATAAAATGCATGACAGAAAACACATGAACAGAGAGACAACAAAGACCAAAGTGTATGATGAAAAAGAAAAACAGGACTTTTTACAGAAAGTTATCTACTATAGTCTGTAACTCAAGCTCCTAAATTCCTTCTGTGATGAAGTCACACTTGTTGGGCGGGTATTGGGAGACAATGACTTTAAGAGTTTATAACAACATACCAAACGATCAATAATGTACAGACACAATAAATGAATCCCATTTGACAGCAAGACACAATAATTCTGTACCTACATAATGTGGCACAGGAAATGGCACAAAGTTCCTCCTTTTCTTCTGCTTTTCACCACACACGCATGCACCCCCGCACGCACGCACGCACGCACGCACGCACACACACACACACACACACAGAAAGCTGTGACTTAATCTATAGGTTTGGCCTCTTCATTGGACTTCTTCAGTAGGGTGAGCAGGTTCTGCGACATGAAATATGGCCTCTCTGCTGATCCATCGTTCCGCTCTAGGTCTTCCACTGTGACACGGACAGATGTAGTTGAGGGACACACATGGTAACACTGAACTGTAATTTAACCATGCTTGTATTTATGCACTGTCTGTGATCCATTTTGTCTTTTAGCTACTTTATAATGAAAGGGGCACTCCGGCAGTTTTACAACTGCACTACAGAGACGATTGGAGTAACTTAACACTAAAAAAGCCTGTTGGGTGTGGTCAGAAGTGTCTTCTGTTGCACTTGTAACCACATACAACAGTGATGTCACAGGGTCCTGGAGTATGCCTCTGCATCACTGCAGCATGGTGAGAAGATAAACAACCAGAAGATAAACACCAATCATGTGGTGTTAAGTTAGTCTTTAAAGAAAATAAAGAATGCTCTAAATCAGATGTTCCCTTGGGGTTTGGACCCCGAAAAGGGTGCAAAGAAATATTTGAGGGGTCATGAGATTGGTTAAAAAAAAGGAAAAAAAAATTCTGTTCCAAAAATTGTTTATTTTTTCTGTAGAAGCTCAGATATCCTGATTATTGTCCCTAACACGGGTCAAGTTGCACAAAGCCAGAGTACTACACTTCCCATACTGCAACTCAGTCCCTTTGTTTGTAAATTCCAAGCCTTCAGTTTGTAGCAGATGTTTCATTAAACATTTTCAGAGCGCTCCTCCCCATTAGACATATACAACTGTTTCACTGAGCAGTACTTCAGTCATGACTCTTGCAAAATTGTTGGAGTGCCCCTTTAAGACAAAATCAGTCCTGTCTGATTCTGTTGGACATGAAAACTCACCTGCTTCCGAACGCCAAACCACCATATGATGCACACATATTTACCCATAACAGAACTACTATGATTAAATACAATCACCTTTAATTAAGATTTACAGCCAATAAATATGGAATGTCATCATCATTGTTTTCAGTGGAAAATCAACTTTCACAAAGTGGCAAACAAGAAAAAAGGTACAAAAGCATCCAGAGAAGATGTTAGTTGCGAGCATTCAGAAGGCCATGTCAACACCATGCAGCACTTAGAGAGAGAGAGAGAGAGAGAGAGAGAGAGAGAGAGAGAGAGCGAGAGAGAGCGAGAGAGAGAGAAAGAGGACAGGGACAGAGAAAGGTAGTTGGAGTCAGTAAACAATGGTGGAGTCCGCAGAGTCTGAGAGGTCACGATGGCTGCATCATGGAGACACAGTCACAGCACTTACGCCAGTCAGTCTGAAATACCAAGGCAAGTAGGTGGCAATACAATACATGGGATCCCATCTTGGCGAGGATCTCTACAAGACTGAAGCCAAAAAATACATCATAGACATACACTACTGTGTATATACACGTTCCATGGGGGAAAAGGATCCAGTATCCATACAGTATATCAAACATGTCTGTAACATTTTGGCGTCAGCTGGTATTATTGTAAACAGTGAAAGAGGTTCACCATTGACTGAGAAGTGTTTGTTCCGACTGTGTACAGTACTCAAGTGGTTCTGTAGTGCATTTGTCAACAGGATTAAGACAACAAATATTAGTGACAGTAATCAGGCACAGGTTCAGCACTCACAATGTTCTACAGATCTTCACGATATAAAAACCAACACTGTTCTAAAACCAACACAAGAGAGCGTTTTTTTCAAGCTACAGAGATGCACTGGGCTTTTGACCTGCTTCGACCTTCACAACCTTCTCCAGCCGGACGTCACACCGCTCACATAGCAAGGCCGTCTGAAATTTTAGCTTGTTGTATGCCGTACATTTATCAGGTCCATATCACAAAGTTGTAGGGACAGTTCTTTCATTCTTTATGCTTTATGAGGTTTACCAAGCCTCACTTTTGTTTTACCATGACATTTACTCCTGTGGTGCAGCGGGAGGGTTTTCTTCCTTCGATTCCTCTGTTTCCTCTTCCTTTTCACCAGTCTCCTCTTTCTCAGCCTCCACAGCTGGTGGGGACGCCTCCTCCGCCTTTTCTTCTTCCTGTTTTACCTCCTGCTGTTCCGCTGCTTCTTTCACCTCGGCGTCTTCTTTCTTTTCAGCCTCCTCGTCTGCCTGATCGACTTCCTCGCTCTTCTCCTCTTTTGGCTCTTCGGCGTCTGTCTTGGACTGCAGCGGCTGCTCCTCTTCGTTGTCCTGCTTGAGCACCACCTGCTGTTTCAGTTGGATCTCTCCGTCTTCTTGCTGCTGAAGAGGTGTTTCCTCCTCCAGTTTCACCTCGTCCACTTGCTTTGCGGAATTCGCCTGCTCAACACCGTCGCGATCTTCCTCCTCCGGCCGTTTTGTTTTGGAGAGGATCTCGTGCAGCTCGGGGGACATGAAGTAAGGCCTGTCAGACGAGCCGTCGTTTCTTTCCAAGTCCTCACCTTTTGAGTGTGTGGGGATGCGTTTGCAGTGTGTTTGATTGGGTTAATGGAAAATTAGGGGGGAAATGAAAACATGAAATAAAGGGAATGTGTGAAAATAAAAGTAAAGTGAAATTAATGGGAGAAACGAGACAAAGAGAAGAAGAAGAGTCAGAAACATGGCAGGAAGAAGAAGAAACCAGCAGCTCAGCTTGAGACCTTGAAGAAGAGAGACGATCTGCAGGAGATCTTGCTAACAAATGAAGGCAATGTTACTCACAGAAGCAGAGGAAGAGCGTGTCCACACACATGGCGTACACACTGAAGAAACCATGGGCGATGAGGTAAGATCCCACTACCAATGTCTGGGTGACGAAAAACACATATGTCAACCTGTGCTGAGGTGAGCTCAAAATTTAGGATTAAATCATACAACTATAATGTTATTATATGTTTCTTACCAGTATTGGCACCCAATAATAGTTCAGAGATGGAGCAGCATCCTCTACTGCTTTGATTCTTCCAGAGAAGAAGAAGAAAGAGAAGATCCCTGTACAGAGAAAATAATGAGGATTTGTGGATTTAAACTAGAAAGCCAGACTGATCACTCTCCACTGGTTTACAAAATAGATACCTTGGGTCTAAAAATAAAATGTAAGTAAAACCTCCCTTACCAACAATGCCAACAATGAGGAGCTTCCCAAGAAACAGCAGGAAGTCAGTCACTTTGTCTAAAACAGCCACCCTGAGTTGAAATGGGCACAGAGCAGAATGTGAGAGTGAATCAAATGAAACGAGGCTAAGAGTAGCTTAAATAGTGAATAAAAGCTGTAGTGTAAAGCTTATAGAATTAAACATTGTTGATATTAATGTAATGAAATCCCACCTGATGATGTTCCTCATGAGAAGGAAAAAGGCATTTCTAGCTGAGGGACAGAAACTTTTTCCATAGATGGCAATCTAGAGAAGAAAAAAAAGCCTTTTTAAAATCCGACCACACAGAACATCGATCATGCTGCTGTATCCAGTTGCAAGGACTCACCATGATGTAGGCATTCCTGTTAAGGAACTTGATACATTTCTCCAGACACCAGAAGCAGCACTTCATGCAGCTTAGCAGGAATTTAGCAAATTTGTTCTGAGCACCTGGAGGATGAGAGCCATGTTATCACTGCATGTGTTTACAACCATAAACTAAAGAATAATCTGACTATTGGCTATGTTCAGGTCGTATTTCGGTTAAACCAAGTTACAAGGACCTGTGATGCCATGAAAGTTTCCCTGTTGCTATAAATACATCAGAAAATACAGTGGAATAGAAGCGTGAGGAGGTTCACTGTATGAGAGGTGCATGCATCCAAAACCAGGAGTCAAAAGTAACAACAAAATCCTAAATGGATATAACCATAATTACTGATGAATATAGGACAATGGTGAAGGTATGCAGTCAGTCAATATTTAGTGAGTCGTCTTCTTCTGATGTTAAATCATCTGACCTTTCAACTTGTGATCCAGATACTCCAGAATGACCCTGATGACCTGAACCACAGACAAGATCAGAGAGCCAAAAGCCAGGGAGCCTGTGTGGTATCTATACAAAAGGATGAAACAGAGGCCGACTGTGAGCATCAAACACTCTTCTCCCATCACACAGGCAGGCAAACCCACCTACTGACCTTCCCATCTGTCGTACACGGAGAGAGATTAACCCAAACCAAAAATTCAGAGTCAACACCATTCTGACTTTGCAATAGAGAACACCATTAGGGTCCAAAAATATCACTTGCCGTTTTTATATAGCTAGAAAAGCACTGAGTTGATACACAACTACAACTACATACATGCACTGTACATGCATGTGCACAGACTTTTCACAAATAAATTACAAATCCATCTTCTAACCTGAGGGCGCGTCCCAGCGAGGAGAAGATGGGGTAGGCGGGAATATCATCAGGCTTCTTGAAGGCCCAGTAATATGAGGCGAAGGCCCCCGACAGAGTGACCTGGCCCAGTGCCGTCACAAAGTTGGCGCACCAGAAGAACAGGAAGACGTTGTAGAACTGGAAGAGGATGAGATATTTGTGGTAGACGGTCTCACCACCGTAGAAGGCAAACAGGCACTCTGCATCTGGACACTGAGCTGAGGCGTTGGAGGTGTTGAACGTCTGGAGAAAGAGAGAAGGTAAACTGTGATGAAAACTGCAATGCTATCCAGGTAAACAGCATAAAACTGCTTCTTCCTAAAATGTGACATATATTAAGAGACTGCGTGTTTGGCTCTTTGGCAGATTCTGAAATTCTACCATCCCACACACATCTTCTAACACTACATTTAATGGGACTTTGACATTTAGAGACATACCTTGGGGTCGCATGTCTCTCGTGAGTACTCGCACTCAGAGTTGTTGAACACTTTGTACACCTGCTCATTAGAGGTGGACAAGAAACTGGTCAGAGCTGTCAAGGAGACAACAAGGGGAGGACATCTTTCAAAAGGTCACGATCATCTATTCATATGGAAATGCTACACCTGCTACACTGGGAATAATTGTAAAGTAAAAGATTTATTTTGTAATCATCTTTGATAATCATCTGAGAAGTGAAAGGATACACAGCAGTGATGGCCCAGTAGGCAATCACCACGGCCAGCAGGGCAAAGGTCAGCAGTGGGTAGAACAGAGATGACATCACATGCCCAACGGCTCTGGAAAAGAAAACAATGGTCGAATTGTTTTGTTAACAAGCTTAGATATATTATATATATAATTCTCTGCTGTAATGAAAATAAATGTAATCAAATTAAAGCAGCATTAACTGATTTTGTTTGGCCTGCTGGGGTCGGCAGAGCTAGCCTCAAACACAACCTCGTGTTGTTGTGTTTAACAGCTGCTTCTTTACAAATCCAGGAGACTTTGTGTTTCAGGCCACCTGATGAAGTCTAATATTCACCTCCTTTTAGCTCTGTTTTGGTCTCCACCATGTACAGAAGGAAATATCTGGTTCTTTAAGTGATCTGCTAAGAACTGTGTCTGTCTGCTATTTGGTGCTGGACAGGTGGAGTACAGTGGACAAGTGAAAACCGCTGCCTCCTGTGGCAGGACACAAGACTGATGAGAGCTGTGAGACTGAACCAAAACAGTAAAGTTGTGGGCTGGGAAACCAAAACAATGAGCTGAAAGACACTAAATCGCTTCGTAGAGATGAGGGGAACTGAAGAACTGGATGATACTTTTCTCAGAGTTCGTCACAATGAGTGACTCTCATCACACAACACACAGTTAAATGATTCATTGTTGGATGGATATTTGTTGGTGCAGCTTTAAAATAAGTGAGCTGGTCCAGTCAATTTTCCACTTCATCTCAGAAAACATATGAAAACGATGCTGCAAAATGTACAACTTGAATAAATTCCCAACTGAGACTGACCTGCTGGCCTCTTTGATGAGAGCGATGGCGATTAGGATTCTCTTCCTGAGGAAGATGAGTAGTAGGATGATGATGAATTCCACAATAGCGAGGATGATCACTGCAAGTGAATGAAACAGATTAACAGGACATATGGACAGTAAATACAGAGTTTGATTACTGAGTGAAAGCATGTTTGTGCTTACTGAAGGCCAGCCAAGTCTGCCTGATCTGCAGGTAGACAGAGAAGTCCGTCTGCAGGCCCAGGTCACGGATGGTGACGTCAGCGCCAGGCTCTCCCTTCAGACTGGCAAATTCCATGTAACAGTGGAAAATACCTAAAAACATTGTTTAAATATTTATTAATCTTCTTTTTAATTTCATTTCATAAAAGGAGTAAAAAATATTGTCTTGAATAGCAACTTTATTATTTTTTAAAGGCTGAAGACTTACCATATCCTATGACTAGAATAACCAAAACAATCATGACCCAGACCATGACACCAGCCAGGAACCGTAGCAGGACGATGAAAATCAAGCTGACCACCATGGCTATCACCAGACCACTACAGAGGGTGCACACATCAAACATTTTAACATATTGACAGTTTGACAGGAGCCTTACAGCATTTTAACCTGTGATCTTTCTGTTATGGTCGTGCATCATTTGTGGTTTTTAAGTGAAGGTCAGTCTTGAACTTTCAGATGTTTTTCACACACAATGATGAGAACATTTCAGCCATGATAATCGTTTGTGTTAAGACAAGTGCAGAGGTGACTTATCCTTTCTAGTGACAACAAACCGATATCTTCTCATCAAAAAATTGTACTTGAAAATTAATTAAGTAACACTGTGTGACTGTAACCAGTGCAGAGTGGGCAGACTTACAGCAATATCCAATGCCAGGATTGAGTGTAGTCTTCAAAAATTCTCATGGCCACCTGTCGAGCTTCAACAACAACATTTGACTTCCTGTAAGAAAAGGAAATGAAATGAACTCCAACCACAAGAGTCTAAAATTAATTCAATATTTGCCATTTATAGACCTGGGAAACTGACTAAATGTTTCAACAGTTTAACAGAAAAAAAAGGCCTATAACTGAACACATTATTAGATAATACTGTTAGTTGAATAATTAATGTAGCGCGAAAAATCTGTGTGTGTTTGTGTGTGTGTGTGTGTGTGTGTATAACATCAGTGGAGCAACTGATGACTCTGTAGTTAGCAAGATGAACTGAAAACATTGTAAACTAAACACACTGAGCACCAGCCTTTATCAGCTAGCTCCTAGCTAAGGCTAACATTCAAAATATGAATATCAAATGTAGAATAACTTTTACATTGGGCTGGTCAAGGCACATTGCAACTTAAGATGACATAATTTGAGTTGGTGGTGTAGCTCTACTGTCAAGCCCTGTGATACTGCCTGCTGTGAGAATATAGCATAACAACAGTAGGCATACTCATCATCTTGATAAATAACATGCAGGGAGCAGTCCCCAGTGGGAATAACGCTGATATAAAACACTGACATAAAGACCCTCCGGGCTGAATTCAAACTGAGCAGAACCAAGGCAGACGCAGGCTGTAGCAAGCACACACTAGTGTAGAAAGTAAATGAGAGCATAAAGGCCTTTAAATAGGCTGTCAAATCAGTGCAGGGAGTTATGGTGGTGATGTGATATACCAGCTGTCTGCTGACACAATTCAGCATGACAATTCAGCATGACGTGAATGTCCGGCAAGAACTAGATCATTTACCCATCTAAACAGCATTTTCTCTGCATTTGAAAGTGTCCACCTTTACAGTTCAGAGTACAAACTGATGTCTTTAGTCAGACCAACACTCTAAGACCAAAAGGAATTTACTTTAACTAGACAGAAAAAGTTGTTAATTCAATAATGAGTTAAGGTCAGAAAAGTTGCTATATGGTTGAATTTGAAAATTTTACTTTAAATTACTAATATTTAATCAATATATCTCAATGTGCCAACTTCCAACTTTCCTGCCTAAATATTTTAAATGTGTTTTACATAAAGCATTTTTTCACTGTGATGCATTTGACTTCTTAGGATTTAGAAGACAAAAAAACTAAATCATTTTATGCAATGAGGAAAACATTTGAAAGATGCTTTGGGAGGGAAACTGGAAAAACGGTTAGAGTTTAGAGTTAAACCCACCCCTAATAAAAATCCTAAATTAAACTGTTCCAACAGCCAAATGTTATCTGTCCTTACAGTTTGCCTAATGTTGTAAATAGTCTGCTAAATAAAACAGTTGTATTTGCTGCTACATAGTGTGAGCTAGCATTAGGCTAAAAACAACATATATGTGCAGTACCACTCACTACACGAGTGTGTACCAAACTTTTGACTGGTACTGTATATGTATGTATATGTTTCCATACAGTGAATAGGACCTACTTTGATGCCTCCAGCACCTCAGTGGCGTTGATATTGTGACCCTCTCCGGCATCAAAACTGGTTTCATTGCCTACCACCACCACCCCACCTTTCATCGTTCCCAAGGCAGGAAGGCAGCGACGCGTGACTGTGGAGGGAGGAGATGATCAGTATGGATGTGGTTCTATGTGGGTGGGTGAAAAGTGAGCACAGGGAAATCTTGAACAAGCGTCTCACTTACAGGCTTTACTGGGCATCAACATGGCAGGACACAAGCCATCTCTCAGGATCTCAGGAGTATTCTGAGTAATGTAAAACAGCCTTGAATGTAGTTTTTGATTTTTTCTTGTCATATCGTGTGTTTTACAGAATCGTTAAACATGTATTGAATATGAATAACGTGAATAATCAAATTATTTACCATTTTGGCAAAGTCCACTCCCTCCTTGCAGTATTGTTTGTAGTATTCACGGTCTTCTTTGCTGCCCAACTTGATAACTTTCACCAAGGTAAGATGTCTGTCAGGACATCTTTCCACACATAACTGGACACGACATATAATCATGACAATTAATGACACTGTTAGATATATATATAGTCTGATAGATTAGCAGATCCTGTTTCTGACCTGTGTGGTGGGACACTGAAACTCCAGCAGAACCAGAGGACTGGCACATTTCAGTATGTTGAAGTAGAACAGAAGAGGCTTCTTCCTGTTGAAACAGGAACATCAGTGAAAGAAAGCTATTATTAGGCCAACATAATAAATGAATGTCTCTAAGACCCAAATGAGGGGCATCAGATTACAATAATATTTATCTGCAAGGAACACAAGATAAGATACACCTAAATTGGTACATTTACACTATTAGACCATTCATGTTGCCATGAAACTCACTCCAGATGTGTTCCAGCTTGTCCACAGAACTCCCCCCTGCTGTCTGTGGGATAGATCACTTTCCTGGGGTCACCCTGAGACCAGGCTGGATGGAGAAGTATAAAAATCACTCAGGACAAATGTGGATATTGAATGAAATGACAATATATATTCATGCTTATTATCACCATTGGTGCGTCAGATCTTCTGTTAATTAATCTATTAAATAGACTGTTTTCTGACAAATTTGCAAGTTTGTATATTTAAAATCAAACCCCATCCCCTAAAGGCAGACTGTGTTCGTGCTGTGCCAAGGACGTGGAAGAACGTTTGCCATCCTCAGGAGCAGATAGACAAAGCATTATGTCTCGAGGATGTAAACAACTCACGCACGCAGGCACACACACACACGCACGCACACACACACACTCAATGATCACTGCTTTTATAATACTAATTTTCTCGTAAATTTATGCTGTATATTTAGTGCTGATGGGGATTTATATTTCTCTTGGAAATTATGTATCTAATAAGAGTAAAGAAGGAAACTGGAAACAACCTAATACTGCCATGACAAAGGCAAGATAGATGAAAATGTTTGGAAATGTTTGGTGAATAAACCCTGATGTACTGAAGATGAGATGTGTGACATATTTTAATAGTGATTGGTCTTAAATACATAATTATAAACAATAATAAAAACAGGCTTCCTCTAAATTCATGCGATCAAGCATGCTAGTGTCTAAGCGATGAAATAGTACTAATATCGTAGGGATGCACGCTCAGTCTTACCGAGGATACCCACAGCGAAGTAGCCCAACAAGGCTAAGATGAAGAGAATACAGCAGAGGATGTCTGTGCAGCCCCTGAGCAGAGGAGAGGCAGAATATTGTTATTGTTGTCTTGTATTATAGAAAGAAAAGAAATGATGATCAGTGATTAAAACAGATGTCTCACCTGTTGTGGATCGGCCCTTTGAAGTTTGGATCAAACTTTCTGGACTCCCCTGGGGATATAAAGAGACAACAGGATTGTTATTGCCGCTTCCTATAAACTGAATTTTAGACTTCTAACTTCAGTCTCACTCTCATGAAGCTCTAAAACAGATAACTCATTTTGTTAGTTTGTAATTTTCTTGGAATCAATAATTTGAATGACTAGATTTTAGAAACTGCTAAAGATGTATGATTATATCATTATGATACAATTCCACTCAAAGTCGATACACAGCAATTCTGAATTATTGACGGGCTATGTCAGCTTTCTGTTGTCACATTTTGTCCCTGTTGGCCAGTATATACTTTCTCTGTGACCATCAGTCACTGTCATCATAGTGAAACTAAAAATATGCTAAAATGGAGAGGACACTACAACAGTAATTGTAAATGTGTAAAAATTACAATTAGTCAATGAATTGATTAATAATAAATAATTGCCAACTATTCTGATGGATTCATGATTTTCATACAGAAAGACATTTTTCCAACAAAAATAATAATCATTCCTTAGTTCCATCTTTATTAGAATTCATTGTCTTATGTAATAATAGACTGAATATCTTTGGCTTTGCTGAATTGACAAAAACAAGCAATTTAATGACATCACCCATTGGGTTTAACTCACTGCCAACATCTCTATGTACAGTCCCATCATCACTGTTAAACAGTAATTGTACTTTCATTCCTCAGCAGTACGAAAACTTAAAGGCTCCTCTCACGGCAAACATCTCTTCATGGTTCACTAACATAGTTTAACAGTGGAGCGTCTAGTGGCTGGGTGGTTAAGATGAACACCCTCATGGTGATTTCAATGTGCGGTTTTTGTTGGAACTGTGTTAAAGTGGTGCTGATTCAACTACAGCCTCCACAATGATCACACAGTTGAATCAACACCTCCCTAACACAGTTTCAACAAAAACTGAGCAGCTGAACCTTCATGAAGGACGATTTATTGCAGGAATGCTGCATTAACCTGCATTAGTTTAGCTAGGTTTACTGTCACTGTACATTTGAAGTGCGCAATATGTCATGGATGCTATTGCAATTAGTTGCACAGTCGAATTGCTTCTGTAAAATCAAAAGTGGAAGCAAATTATTCATCAGTTTCAGCACGTTAGTGACTAAGATAAGACACAGTTACAAATCATTTCTTGACTTAGTGGAGAGCTGAATGTACTTGTGTACTCAGAAACGAGAGAGTGTACTTGAGACACACATATATACAATATACATCAGGTGTAAGCTCATGTATTGACAGAGACAGGACAAAAGGATTCTTCTGCCTGACTGTCATGCCCGGCAACCTACAAAATGGCTCCCTAGCGACAGTGAGCTCCCTGTGGACATCGCTAGCCGCCATGGAAACACCTCAGACGCGGCAGAGGAGAAACATCAACCAAGCCCACTCTGTCTGTGGTGAGATCATCATGAGCTAACACTTTGAGTCAACTTTAGCAACGACAAGAACAGGAACAAGAACACTGAGCATGGATGTATTCATCTGTAATTTTCAGGCTTCTAAATTTCACCTTGAAATATGTTTTAAACAGGAAATCAGCTTGGTGAAGAATTCAGCTGCGTGTAAACACAGTCTCCTCGAACAACATCCTTCCATTAGAAAACCAGTTGCCAGACTCAGAGCTCTTACACATCCTGTCACATTACTGTAACTGCTTGCCACAGCCTTCATGACAATTCACATCATTAAGTGGCATTTAACTCTTCTGTAAATGCTCTGCTACAGATATAAAGCTAGAGGCGAGCCCAGCTACTTGTTGTCACTGCCTATGTGATCACATTCAGTATGCATCATATACAGTGCTTCACACACTGCTAACACACACATACACAGGACACACACACACCCTCTGCAGACACAACTGAAAGGTGTCACTTTGTATTTTAAAGAACAGTTTGTCGGTCCATTAACCATCACAATTAGCAAAAGATGAGCTATTTGTCAACTCTATCTGAGAGGCGGCGGTCGTACACAAGACACTCAACAACAAATCAACCTCCAGTTTATAATAAATCCTGCTGCAGTGACCTTTACAGTACCTTGTCTTTCGTATTTTGTCATTCTGTCCTTATTTCTCTCAGACTTTCGGTCATGAACGCGTTTATAGATTCCTCTCTGTGTGATGTGTATGACAGTTGTTTCTATACGTTTCCTTCCCGTATGAGGTCTGAGCTGTCCGACCTCTAACTCCTCACTTCCTTCTTTCAGAGCACTCTGAGCTCTGTCAGCATACTCCCTCTCTCTGGTCCCTCTCTCTGCGCAGGGCTTGTCAGGGGAATTGCAGCAAAAACAGCATTGATGGGGGAATTGAGAGAGGAGCTCAAACACAACAAAGACTTATGGCGCCTGAGAATCTGCTGCTGCCAAAACTGGCTGTGTTTACACACACAGACACACATGACACTAAAATGTCTGACGGCAGGGAGTGTTTGAGTCAGCGGTGGGTGACACGTTCTGAAACCAAAGTCTTTAACACCAACATCATAACAGTTATTATAGGCTTCAACTCAATCCACTATATTGACATACTAAACTGTGTTCATTGTTTCCTTGTTTCAGCTGTTTTACAGTTTGTAACTGCATGCAGAGAGCGGCACGGTTAGCTGTTAGCACTGCAGCAAGAAGGTTCTGGGTTCGAACCCCAGTTGGGGCCTTTCTGTGTGGAGTTTGCATGTTCTCCCTGTGCTCTCACCTCACTGTAGTCTTATGTCCAAAAAACATGGGGTTTGAAAAAAAAAAAAATGTACAATAAAACACTGCCACTGTAGGGTTTGCTCTTTAACTCTTAAAAGATGATAGGCCTTCTCTCAAATTTTTCTCAGCTTCCTGTACCTGTACTCTCCAGATTGTTACAGCACTTGGACCACATGCCCCCTCCAAGTGCTTTCAAACTTCCTAAACAGTGGACAAAGATCTCTTGAAATGGTTTCATGCAACCAGACAACGATTTGATTATGATGAATTGGGCCTGTTGTCACACACAAGGCGACGAAGTGAACTGTACATCAGATATAAGACCTTCCTACATGTTCTCTGGTGGCACATGACTGTGGCCTGGTCTGCCCACCTTCGCTGCCATGTGATGGGATAACAGCATGCATGAAATACCAACTATTGACCTCATACACAAGCTTGTTACAGTGCCATCTCCTTGCAAACCGAGTTTCTGTAACCTGCATGGGAGCCCTTAACATACTGATCTTTTCAGACCGATATCAACATATGTGGCGGTCAGTGTTACAGTGGTGGGCCGCCACGAATAAATCAATGTGTGGAAAACACTGAACAAAGTAATAGACATTTTGAGAGTTTGAGAGGATCAATACCACCTTCATATCTATCTGATAAATATAAAGCTACAGGCAGGAGAACAAGATTTACCTACCAGCTCTTCTTAAGCTCACTAATTAACAGGCTATGTCCCATTTGTTTCACCTGTACAAAAACTAATGTGTAAAAATGACAATTCGCCATGCGATTGGGGGTTATGTGCTAATCAGTGAGCTTTAGAGGTGCTGGTAGGGGGATGTTAGCTAGCTAACTGCTAGTTGTTTCCTCCTGTTTCCAGTCTTTATGCTAAGCTGATTGGTAGCAATAGGTTCATACTAATTATCTGCAAGAAAAAATATAATATATAAATATCAAATTATTCCTTTAAAAATATGACAATGATTATAAGCCGATATTCATGTTTTACCACGCAGACATAGCACAAATAAATATTTTCATAACATCCCTTGAATTTGGTTATTAAAGAACAGTGAGCAAGCTATAGCTATACAGAGCAGGACGTTTTACAGCTGTGAAACAAACTTGTCAGTGTTCTCAGATGTACAAACTATGTAACAAAGACACTCAAGCTCAAACATATGTTTCTGTACTGCAATTTTTTGTTTCTTATTGCTCAACATAATGATACTTATACACGTGATGAGCTAAAATGAGTTGATGATATTAGTATTAAAGTATAAAATATATAAAATCATACAATTAGAAACAATTGTTTTAAAACAGGCCTGTACAGTTGAATGAGATTTAGATTTCAGTCACAGACACATCTTTGTTAACCAAAGGGTTTGCTGTTTCTGTTTGGTCTGACTCCAACGCCCTGCTTTCACTTTGTGTGTATACATTTTCTCTGTCTTTATACTCTAAAGGACAAACATTGAAAGTGATTTTTCCATCAGCCTTTCATTTGTAGGACCATCTGTGACTGTGAGAGACACAGCTCCATTAGTGCTGGAGCAACAGGCAACTCTTTGCCTGTTTTGTGCCACGAAACAATCTCCGATTGTGCGGAAAAGCATTTCAGCAGATTTGTTGTTGTTGCGTACAGGCTGCCAAAAGTCTTGTAAATGGTCTTGTTTGTCTTTGTAATTGGCTTAATTAATAAAATTAACTACTACGGTACATGCAGTAACTTTAAAAAGAAAAAAGGTTGCACATTTTATAGACATTTTTTGTTTTGTTTTGTTTTTTCCCATTTGGGTAACCTGGGCCCCTTAGGTACAGGAGTTCATTACACACCCTCCAGAGACCCTGATACTGAAAGCCCACAAGACTTACCAGACAATTTCAGTCTGCATTCAGTTCCCTATGGAGTTCAAAACGTCTGCCAAACCTCATCCAAAACTGGAAACTATTTAGTAAAATCACGAAAAACAATTCTTTACAAACAACCTAAGTGTAAATTCTGAAACCAGAATAATGAGATCTCTGCCTCTGCTGACAATAAGATATGTTTTTCTAGTCACGTGTGCGTGTGTGTGTGTGTGTGTGTGCGTGTGTGTGTGTGTATGTTAGAGGAAGTAATGATGTCATGACTGATCTGATTCACTAATGGGCCCAGAGGGGTTATCAGATGAGCCCTTCCCTGTCTACCTTAATGGGTTACTGGCCACTGTGGTTGTGTGTGCATGTGTGTGTGCATGCGTGTGTGTGTGTATGTGTGTGTGTGTGTGTGTGTGTGTGTGCGTGCGTGCGTGTGTGTGCGTGTGCACACAAATTGACAATGAGTATATTTTGTCTCCTGTGCTCTTATTCCTAACATTTCTATTCAGGACATGTAGATAAAGATGATTAATATATGATAGCATTTCAGAAACTACTGTATGTACTGCTGTTCTAATACTGTATCAAGCAGCTGCCACTGCATCAAAAAAACTCCTCCATCACAGCCACTAATGAGGTCACTGGCCCACCTACAGGCACGGAAAAGAAGAAACACAATAAAGTCTCTTTCTGAATAGCTAAATACATAAAAACTGCCAACCACTGGCTCAGATCACTGTCTCTCTCTACTCTTCCCAGTCACTGGTTGGATAAATCAGCAACAGGCAAACTCCAAACGACAAGAGATCATTGTGAAACATTTAGCAGTAGTGTCTTTGTGTGTGTACATGCAGTGTGTGCTGTAATGCATCAGAGCGTTTGCCAGCTTGATATTGACTGGAAGCCTCTTGACACTGTCTGCTGAGTGGGTAGAGCGGGCGAGGCTGAACACAGTCCAGGCGGTGCAGGCTGCAGCCTGCCTGCATGCATGCACACAGGTCTAGACAGGTGGGAAATGTAGGAGTAGGATTAGTAGGCGACCAGGGACGTCTCACCAGTCAAACTCTGCCGATAAAAGCTACTGTTTAAGAATACTGGTGAGCTGGAATTTCTATTGTGTGTTTGCATCATATAAACTTTTAGCTCTGGTTTAAAAGGCTGCAGTTTTTGACCTTTTAGCCTTCATGGGGGGAGGGGAGTCAAGGAAAAAGAACTGTTTACGTGGTAACAGGAAAGCAACAAGGAAATGCTCCAAAGTGGGAACTCCATGGATGGACTGAACAGGATGTGTGCTTAACATTGTGGGTGTGGGCTGTCAGGAGCATCTTACATTATGAAAGACGGAATAACTCAAAAGTCAGACATAGCGTTGACTCAGCATTAGTGTTGTCTTCTCAGTGAAATGTGTGTGTGATGATTGTGGTTTGCATTTCAGCGGCCTATGGCCTTCCTTTCATGCAACAACACTGACATGGGGTATTAAAGCAAGAATAACACCCATGATGAAGACTTCATGACTAAGCAGTCTATATGAACCACAGCCCAGACATACGAGGAGCACAGCAGGCTGCTGTAGGCTGCTGAGTTGGTGCTGGTGGAGAAAATGCATGTGTGACAGACAAAATAATCAGCGATGAGTCATGAGTTTGCCTTGTATAGAGAATGAATTTTCCATAATATGTGGATCCAAAAAAATCAGTGTGAACAACATGTGTTTGTGCAAGTATCTGTGTGAGTATGTGCAGCTTTGAATGAAACAAACATTTGTCAATCCAAATGTTTTTTTAGCCCAGAGGAAAACACTATTCATGCATCTGTTTTCTCCTCCTCCTCCTCTCTGGCCTGTTGGAGTGTTTTTCTGCAGAACATAATATGAGCCAATCAAGACAGCCTTGGTTTGATAAGATGACAACCTACTTTTCTTTATCAGTCAAATTAAGCCATATACCAACAATGGATAACTAATACAGCTTTCGTTTCATTTAGAGCTGTGGGCTATTTGGTTGGCAATTGGCTATAGATTGTTAACATAGGGCAAACAAGCCAAACAGACCCACCCACGCACAGCACGTTGCCTTCATTCATTGTGTATTGTCAAGTGTATAATTAAAAGCTAATTTAATACACGTTTCCCGAGGCTAAAGATGTTGACTCCTTAGAAGCCTGCTTTGGAGGATGAGGATGCCTCCAGATCTGCATACGACCCATGAGGTCCACACCCATCCATCCATTACAGTCATTGTTTCCATTTCTTCGCCCGTTTAAAGAAAAATCAAAGATCGTGGAGAAAACTGTCACGTAAAGCTCTTCTTACCGTATTTCGGGTCCGGGTTTTTTTCCTCCGGCTCCATTCTCACACACTGCTCGGCTGCTCGCTGCTGATCAGACCTTAGACTGGACAGTTACCATGGAAATGTCGAGGGAAAAAACATCAATAACAGTGGCCGACTGCTACAGAGAGAGCGAGAGAGTCAGTGAGAGAGACCATCCCAAATCGAACTGAAGCACGGCGCATTCCAAGCTAACGGACAGACAGCCAATGAGAGAGCAGGGCCTGGTGACTGACAGCTGCCGCAGCCAATCAGAGGGCGCCTGAGCGGGCCAAAACAAATTGTCCGACCGCTATCTCAGTGGAATGTGTTGAAAGTGTTGGTAAAGACTAACGTGTTGGGCATACTGGGCATTATGCATCAGAAAAGACTTAAAAAAGACCTGCTTCCTTTACACGATTATTGTATTTATATTTTTTTTACACATTTAGGCCATTTAAACCTACCATAACACTACACCCCAATAAATAGTCCACAAAGAGCATAGCCATGGTAGAAATACTCAAGTTCGATTTAGCGCTATCCATAGCTACTACACTTAAGTATTCTATGCCAATTCATATACTCAATGGAAATATTATACTCTCCATTCAACTATACAGTATTTTCAGATATAAAGTATAAAGTAGTAGCTCATACTTTCATGTATTCATAATAACAATCCCATAATAATGACATAATATTATGACAATGCTGCATAAAAAGTGCTTTTATTTTTGATGCTTCTTGTACATTTTGCTGATAATTTTCTGTAAGCTACTTTAAATATGGTTTAGGCAAAGGTTTGAATGCAGGACTTTAACTTATGTATTTTATAGTATTTCTCTGAGAAAAAACCTTTAGCGATAGCCTACATCTCCTGACATGAGAGGCTACACTGACATTGATTTTCAAAATTTCTCAGTGGAGGCTGGTCTACTATTTTCTGTGTAGCTCCACTCTGCTCATGAAGACATTACTGCAACTCTGTGATGTACAAGAACAAAGAAAGAAAGAAAAAATAAAACAAAACTCAATAATATTCTTGCAAAAAATAATTTAAAAAAGGTCCTCTGGAAGATAGAGAGACAACATGTATCTTTACATAACACTGGCTGGAAGGTGAACTGTGATAGCTAACTGCTCTGCCCCACCTTTGACCGCAATAGTGTCATGTGTAGGTGTGCCGGAAAAGTAATAAATAATTCAAGTTATGAAATGTTATCAGCTTTCCTAAGAAAATCATGAGAACATTTTACCCATCTAAAATAACAGCCAAACAAGCAAACCCATCTTCCTACTGGTAACAGCTACCCTGACAAAATCAGCTGATTTCATGTTAATAATTAATTTTAACTAGTTAATGTTTCATCCAGGAAAAACACCAGCAATAGCTGGTTAGAAATAAAATATGAGTTTAATAACAGTTTAAAAAAATTTGGGCTCGGGGCCAATTTTTTTTCAGTTCCTGGAGTTTTCTTGCTTTTTTTCTTCCTTAATTGTATTGCCTACAAACAAATCCTCACAATCTAACCACATTAAGTTTTACAGTGTATTGTCGGTGTAGTTGTTGTTGTATAAGCCTGTGGTCAGGTGTCTCCACTGCCAGCTGCAGTGTCACTTATAAAAGTTGTGCACAGGCGCTCAGACATTCAGTACATCGCTCCTTATTTTACCAGCCAATGAGCTTGAAAGGCGTGGGCCGACACCCTCCACACCCCGGCCGCACAGCAGTCCTCGAACGCCATTTTGAGTGAGGACATTTCTCACAAATGTCATTTACACCCCATGTTTAAATTAAACAACATGCTACACAGGACACAGAAACAAAGCTCTCACATTCCCAACAGTCAAACTCTCCATGTGTATTCAACATATTCATCTTGTCCTGCGGCCACAGACAGACAAAGTTAGTTGTATAACTTGAAGTTGTTGCACAACTTCGAGTCGTGCAGCGTCTTGTGCCTCAACTGTCATGGTGGAGAGGAGCTCCCACGTTTGGCGTTACGTATCCCTGTGACGTTTCACCGCGAGAATTGTTACTTAAGCAACTTTTTTACAGCTCATATCACCGCTGAAAAGTCACCGGACCATCAGATAAACTCACCGAGAGGATATAAAAAAAGGTATTGTGCGTTTAGGACGAGGTTTCCTAAAGAAAAACCACTAAATGTTCACATTGCTGCACGTGCAGGTTAATGCTGGTCTAACTGCTTTAAAAACTGCTCGTAGGACAGTTTGTGAGTTTGTTCTGAAATGTGTACATCATTAACAGGCTGCGGTTTGGTTGCTGAGAAAAGATTTTAAGATTTTCTAACCCAGTGCCACAACAATACCCAAACCCTTTCTGTTTGTCTTGCATGGAGTGATGATAATATAATATTAATAATAATAATAATAATAATAATAACTTATAGTCCAATACAAAAAATAATGTGTTTATTAGCTTCCTGAAAAGTACTATAAATTTGTCGTCAATAATTCTGTATTGTGCTTTATATTTACTTGATTTTCACTGGTCTGGCTACTCAACCTGCATCAATGTTACATAACAATGTGACATCAACTGTAAAAAGTGCATACACTTTGTTTTATTACAAATATAACAACTTTAATAAATATATGTCCTCTTCTTTTCCTCCATGTTCAGTAAACATATGGCTCTCAGAGGTGCTGTCACCCGTCTGCTCTCCAACAGCCAGAAATGTGCTGCTGTCACTGCGTCCAGAGCCCAGGGCACAACTGCTGCAGCTCACAAAGGTACATTTGACGTTCTTCAGTCCTTCTGTAAATATATAGAAGGAATGGTAGGATCAGGTTTGGGGGGTACGGTCTTTGATGAGAGAAATAAGTCTCCTAATGTGGTAAACAGCACTGTCTTCATTTGTATCCAAAAAGAAAAAGAACACACAGGAGATGAAAACTAAGTTAAGTTGTTTAAATTAGTGTAAGGGGATGAATTATACACAGGACTCAACACTTTAATATTTTTCCCTTTTTAGATGTTGAAGATGTCAAAAAACCGGCAAAGGCAGGTAAGAGATGTTTTAATGAGCTCAACCTGGTCTGCTCAGATTCTTTCACACCTCTTACCATATCTGACTGTGACATAACCACAGTGTGTGTGTGTGTGTGTGTGTGTGTGTGTTCATGATTTGACCCTCAGCCAAGGTGTCATTCAACTGGCGGGACGCTCTGAACTTGGACGGTCAGCTGACAGAGGAGGAGACCATGATCCGGGACTCCTTCCGCGACTACTGCCAAGAGAAACTCATGCCCCGCATTCTGATGGCCAACAGACATGAACGTGAGCTAAACACATGTCCATGATTCAGAGCATATAGGGCTGATATGAGGTGTTTATTAAATCTCATATCATCTAGATTGTGGAGAAGATCTCATCATAGCACATTTTCAGTTCTTGCCTATCAAAGGTATCGAGTTTCTGCTCAATATTTGACGGTCAGTGTCTGTTTCCCAACATGCACCATGCTACAGATTTCCACCGTGAGATTGTCTCAGAGATGGGAGAGTTGGGTGTCCTCGGCCCAACTATTAAAGGTAAACAAAAAACAGAGCTACATGATCATTTATTCAAGTTATAGTCCCATCCTAAAATGAACAATGCTTTCAGTAATGCTTGATCTTCATCTTCTTCATGTTTTTTTTTCTATCTGCTTTGTCAAAGTGCCACATGATTTTTTTTTGTCATGTTAAGACTACTCACTGGGTAGTAAGATTATTTGGACTTAAATTCCCTTCTGTCTACCCTACAGGGTACGGCTGTGCTGGCACTAGTTATGTGGCATATGGTCTGATTGCTAGAGAGGTCGAGAGAGTGGATAGTGGGTATCGGTCAGTCATGAGTGTCCAGTCTTCACTGGTCATGCACCCAATCAATGCTTACGGCACAGAGGCTCAGAAGGAGAAGTACCTGCCAAGGCTTGGTAAGAAATGTGTTATACAAATGGGCATGACATTTCAAACAGCAAAGCAGAAGCACAAGGTACTTTTACTGAAATCTGGTGTGTGTGTTTTTTTTTTTTTTTTTTTTTTTTTTTTTCCCTGCAGCTCGTGGAGAAATCTTGGGCTGCTTTGGTCTGACAGAGCCCAACCATGGCAGTGATCCCAGCAGTATGGAGACCAAGGCAAAGTACAACCCGTCCAGCGGTACCTTCTCCATCAGTGGATCCAAGACTTGGTAGGTGGACAGACATACAAGAAGCATTGGCCTTTCAGATAGATAGATAGATAGATAGATAGATAGATCAATAGATAATGATAGAGTGAGTACTCACTCACTCACTCACTCACTCACTAACTTACTTTCTTTATGCAGCCCCTAGGGGAAATTCAGCATAAATATATAGACGATGAAGAGAAGTGTAGACTGTCCCTTTGTCGACTTAAGTTTTAGACCATACTTTAGTTTGAAATGTAATAGTGGTCAGGTATTTGGAGACTAATAATCTAAATAGATGCAGTAAAATAAACAAAGACTGCTCCTCTCTTTTGGGTTAGCTTAGAGCCAGGCCAGCTTTTTATCAAGTTAGTAAAAACTTGAAGCTTTACATGAGACTTGGTCTGTACCAAGCATCAGGTTCTTAAATACTAAATACTAAAATGTGCAATCATGCAACCTTATTGACTGACTTTTTTCCTTTGTTCCTCACTCTCCTTCCTCTGCTAGGATCACAAATTCCCCCGTGGCAGACATTGCAGTGGTCTGGGCAAAGTGTGAGGATGACAGGGTGAGGGGTTTCATCTTAGAGCGTGGAATGAAGGGTTTTTCCACCCCCAAGATTGAGGGCAAGTTCTCACTGAGGGCGTCTGCCACTGGCATGATCCTGATGGATGAAGTGGAAGTTCCCCAGGAGAACCTGCTGCCCAACGTATCTGGTCTGGCTGTAAGTGGCTGCTCTGTCATAGCAACTTCAACTCCAACAAATACTTTAATATAACAACATTAATGTAACTGTGTTTTGTTGTTGGCCCTTGTAACCAGGGTCCCTTTGGCTGTCTCAACAATGCCCGGTATGGCATTGCCTGGGGAGCTCTGGGAGCTGCTGAATTCTGCTTCCACGCTGCCCGACAGTACACTCTGGACAGGTACATGACATTCAGTCTGCTGTAGTGTGCACGAAGGTCAAGGTTAGAGGATCTGACAGA